TGCCCTTGCTTCCCGTGAGGAAAGGATGTGGGCCAGGACGTGACCAGGGAAAGCGCTTCCTCTCTGCCTTTCAGCTCAGTCTGCGGACCTACATTTGGACCCGAGTGCTCTGCTGCAACTGGCCACAGGACCATGCGTGAGAGAGGGCGCCGTACCCACCTGCAGAAGAGGCGTGTGCACATGGGACACCACGTGGGGCAGCCGCCGCCACTCTCGGATGGCCAAGCTGCTGGCCATCTCCACCAGGCGTTCGATGAAGTTGAGCTGCTGTTCCTCTGGGTGGCAGATGGCCAGGTATCCTCGGTACATGTTGACCTTCCAAGCCATCTCTTTTGGACAACTTACTTCTACCTGGTAGGAAAAAGATATAGTATAGGAAGTGATGGGCATTCTTCCCCTCAGTATAAAGGGTCAAAAAGGAAAAAGACCACTTTTTTTTGTAGCCAATTATGCAAAGCAATAAACAGAAGTTAGGTTATAAACAGAAATTTATTTTCTTTAGAGAAACCATGTATTTAGACGGCCTCTTCCGGATACTCTTCTTTTCTGAATTCCAGTGAGCGCCAATCTCCCTAGCTATGCAGGCGCACCACAGGCTCCTTGCTTTAAACTCGTCAGTAGTTCCAAAAAAAAAAGAAACTGATCAACACTGTTACGACAGAAAAATGAACAATCGCCACCCTGCTACAAAGTCAGCCGGCATAGTTCATATTTTTAAACTATTTAATGTGCTATTAAACACATATTAATCTCTAATATAATAAATATTGGTACAATTTTGAGCTGTTCCCAATGCATTTTGTTATCCTGGGAAATTAATCTAACTTACTCAGGCACTGGTTCAGATTTATAAGAATATGAGGGAACTGTCTTGAATTTTTCTTAATTCTTGAACAAAAACTGTGAGAACTCACCATTGACAGGAAGGAAACAAATACTAAGGAGTATTCTTGGGGTAGAGGGGAAATGGTGGAAAGGCACAGATGCAGGAAAAATAAAGAACAAGAACAGCCCAGCCTAAGCTAAAGCAGTGACAATAATGCTGGGCTGGGGTTCAGACGGCAGGCAGCGCCGCACCATCCAACACTGCATCTCTTGATGCCCCGACAAGAGCTTCCCGTGGGCAAAAGGGAACTGTACTTATGCGCCTGCTCTCGACGGAGCACTAAATTCCTCGGGTTGAAGTTAATTAGAAAACAAAACAAAACATACAGCTCAACCAAGTTAATGTCTCAACTTCACTCACACTATACTATCATCACTTCCATCTCACATAACATACTTTGAATACGATACCGTCTCATTCAACCAACTTTTGGCCGACGACAGCTAACGTGCCAGGCCCTGGGCTGTACGGGTCACCCTTGCTGCACTTGTCAGCTCTGCTAGTGTTTCTGCCAACACAACTGACAATAAAATGGACCGTTCTTCTAAACTTCTACAGACATTATGACTTTGTGTTATCGGAATCCAAGGTCTTCGACACCAGATACTCATTACTGTAACTAAACAAACTAATACCTAATTTATAATTTAATTCAAATTCAGGAAAGGTGTTAGAGATAACCAAAAAGAACTCTTCCTTTCCGAGAACTATCTTTCAATTGCCAAAATGCCCAGCTTGCTCTAAGTGAAGGGAAATCAAAAGCAACATTCATGGCTTCAGTCAAAGGAACCCAGGCAGCTGCAGGAACTGTCCCAGGAAGGTAGGGGGACGTCTCACCTGCACCAGCGCCTCCTTCATGGCGGTCCAGTTGGATACCCGCCAAGCACACTCCAGGACGAGGTAGGGGTTTATGTGGCCTTTGGACTGGCCGTATTCTGTCAAGGCTTCCCACTGGTTCAACTCCTTAGAGCACCTGGAAGATCAGGGATCCGAGGACAAAAGTTCAGTCACCAGCACACCAACGGATTGAGAAAGGCAAGGGACGGAAATTAAAGCAGCATATTTCCATTCTACAGAACAAAAGTAACACAGCAAGGGCAGACCCCGTGGGACACCATGGTGTGCCCCACTGCAGGGTGAACTACCTGTCCCCCTGGACACCAAGAACTGCCGCTATTCCACAAAGAGCCCACAGCACCACAGCCAGCGGAGAGGCAGGAATAATGTATAGTTTCTCCAGTTACTCAAGACTTTAAACGCTGTTCTGAGATTTTTGTTTGTTCTTTTTTCATGCAGCCATAAAGCAGCAAAGCTCCCTTTTAAAAACACTCATTATGAGAAAATTTCAGAGATTTTTTCATTGGTTCCCTTAACTTGGATCTTGAACACATCCAACACCGTGTTCAGCTTACCGAATCCAGTGGTCTTCCCAAAGCTGATATTCAGGGAAAATAGCAGGGGACGCGTTACTCCTCTCGTGCTCTTTCTTGGCTTTATCCATTGCCTTTTCATAGGATTCTTGTGCCTAAAAATGTTAATAATGCTTTCAAACCAACTTTAGTATATGTGCTGCCATAGCAAGCAAGCTTTCAAACCACTGTTTAACAAGAAACACAACTTTTTCACTGCCCCTGCTCAATTGTTTAGAGGAAGTTGGATCACAGACCTGCAAGTGCCTCAATCTGTGTTCTCAGACCACGAAACACCCACAACTCTTTATTCACAGAGAACAGAAGAGAGTGGGAGGAGGCAGGAGGCAGCGTGACTCCCGGCACAGAACAGGAGGAGGGGAGGCTGTCTAGACCCAGGATTAATTTCTCTGTCCTTTAGTGATCAGAGCAGGAGCCGTAAGGCTGTTCTTGTGTTTCTGGAGCTCCTGCAGCTCCGTGTCCTACACAGTACTGAGACTCACACCCTGTATGAGTGGCCCATGCCACACCGAAAAGACAGACATGAGGACTAAAACGTACGCCTACCATTTCCAGCAGGACCAATGATGGCAGATACGAAGCATCCGTGTTAGCATCTAATGTTAAAGGATGTAGGACTGTGCTTTAAAAATGCTCATGTCATATATGTAGGTTTCTCTTAAATTGAGACTTCAATTAAAGGGCCTTTATGTGCAGGATTTAAGAGTTTCAAAGCTTATTTAAACGTGAACTCCAACTTGAGGATATTAACGAACCATTACAAATAAGCTCTCATTAACCATGGAACCCAGTCGTTTCACTCGACAGTGGCTACCTGCTCGAAGAATCCATGCTGCTCGTATGCAAGGGCAGTGGCCGTCTCTGAGTATTTGCAACGCTTCTGCCACAAACCAGCCCACATGTCTTCTTCTTGTAACAGGGAATAAAGCTCAGCAAGGGAATCCAGTATCTCCTGAAAACACAAATCGTGGTTTCTAGTGCTCATGACAAAAACTTTTTTTTTTTCCCCAATAAAGTAGCCTGTCTGTATTATAGTTTAAAATCACTCAGGAGATGTATTTATTCACAGCGTGAAGTCACCTGCTGAGGTGGAGTTATGCTCTCCTGCTCATAGAACTCTGTTGTCTGCTTCGGCTTAATCTGAAGACTCAGGCCTTTCTCGAAAGCCTGGTGTTCCAGCATCAGCGTGGACCGGAACCAGAGGTTGTGAGTCTTCCCCAGGTACTTCAGAACACAGGGTCTGATGGGGATCGGAGGGACACACTGGGACATGGCTTCCACGAAGCAGTTCAAAGCGCTGGGCTGACAATCCCGCTGCACCTGGTGACTGCCACTGCACAGGAACGGACTTATCTCACCCGCAAGAGCCTGAAACCAAAGGGCGTGCTAATTCAGGTCTGTGTTCAAAACTCTCCCTCACAAAGCAACTGATACTTTCGATAATTCACTCTTGGATAATAGGCAGCAATTTCCTTATCTTCTGAAACTTAATCGAGACTGTATTCTTTTATGAATACTTACTAAAAGCTAAAACTACGTTTTTCCAAAACAAGATTTAAAAAATACGCTCACGTGCTGCTGTCTGTCAGAGAGGATTTTCCACAATCTGGGAAAAAGCTGGACCCACGTCTTCTCTGCCAGAGTCGTGGAAATGTGGCACAGCTGAACGAAGGCGCTGAGCAGTGCTCCAGTCTGCGGACAGAAGGAAGAGGCGCTTACACAGCCGCGGGCTGGCGATGCTTCCCTCGCCCCTGCTCACATGACACACACGACCTGTCCCATACTTTCTCAGGTGCTCCTCTGCTTCTGAACTTTCAAAGATCAGAACAAACACCACGTTGGAGCAAAAGCCTGTGGATTCTGAGTGCTGGAAAGCACACTTAGCAGCGAAGCACAGATGCGCCCAGGGGCTCAGTGGCTCACCTAAGTCTGCTCTTGGCTTTCAAGGGCATTTCCTAACACTATCGATTCCATCACGTCCAGGTAGTACAAGGACACTGACAATGCCAAGAGGTACACAAGTGTCACCGAGGCAGTAGCCACTCAATATAGGAAAACAAAAATAGAAAAAGCACACACATGTAAGATAAATTATTTGCCAACAGGTGCTACTCTGAAGAACAAATCAAGAACTGTGGAAGTTCAGTCTCTACCATTGGCAGTGGACAAAAAGAGTGGACAAAATGACTGGAATGGACAGAACAGACTGCAATGGAATGGAAGGGAGCAGAACAGACTGGAATAAAATGGCTGGAGCCAGAGGTGAAACTGAGGGTCCACAGGGCACAGCAAATCCACAGACACATTTATTCTATCCACAGAATTGTTTCTGGAAATCTGAATTAACCGCCAACATTTCCTCTCAATAGCAGGTTTCTAGCTTGCTTGAAGCTGATCCATCCACGGGGCCCACTGTACGTGGCATCAGGCAGTGGCACCAGGCAGCTCGGGCATGTGCTGACAGCCCGCTATGGTCCCAGCCGCCCTGCACAGAGACAGAGTGCCAGGCACACATGCGCGTGTGTCGTGATTATGCTTTCATTTCTCCCACAGCAAACCCAAGAAGGAAAATCACTCTCATATCCATGTTTCTATTAAAAATGCAGAAACCAAGGACATAAATATTTCAAGGAAAACAAGTGAAAACACTTAAGTAAAGAACACTCCCAGGTATCTGATGCCAGGCTGCCCAGGATGAAGCTGCTTCACTCTGGCCAGCACCTGCCAGGGGCCCTCTTGACTCCAAGCCTATTTAGCAGCGGCCAGGAGCTGGGGGAGAACCGAAGGGCCAGTGAGGTCACACACCTGCTGCAAAACTGTTCAACTCAAGCCCTGAGTGGGTGATTCCCCATGGGTTTGGATCATAATCCCGATTGTTGAAATCCCCAAAAGATCAAAATCCCTGAAGTCCAAAATCCCAAAAATTGTGCGTGTGTTGGGGGAGGGGCAGGGGGGGGAGAAAATAAATAAAATCCCAAAAATCACAAGCACAGGACAGTAGCGTGCAGTTAGGTGGAACTATTACGTTATCATCATCTGCGAGGCTAAAGGAGACACGTATGGTGCCAAATTGACAAGGGATAGACTCGTGGACTTAATTTTAGATGTCAGCTTGACTGGATCAAGGAATACCTAGAAACCTGGTAAAGCATTATTTTGGGTGGGTCTGTGAGGGTGTTTCCAGAAGAGACTAGCATGTGTCTCTAGACTAGAGAGATCTGCCCTCGATGTGGGCACCACCCTATCAGCCAAGGCCCAGAGAGATCACAGACGGCAAACTGGGGTCTGAGAGCTGGGTCAGGCTTTTCTTCTGCTGCCCTGGACATCCGAACTCCAGGCTTGCTGGCCGTTGCCCCCCACCCCACGTCCTGAAGCTTTCAGCTTTGGACCGAGAATTACACCATTGGCTTTCCTGGTTCTCAACATAAAAACATTAAAACTTACTCAATAAATTAAGAGATGTACCTTTTTGTACATTTGCATTTGTGAAAGATAAAGTTTACCAAGATCGCAGCTCTGTGGGCAACTGCAGATGTGGGGGTGACCCACTGTGGTTTTTGATCTATCTTGTCAAAATATTTACATTGCTCGTCATGTATTTCAGATGGCCACCATTATAACCCTGGGCACACAATTACCAACCATGGTGATGGCATTTATACATTTCGCTTTTTTTTTTTTATTTCAGCATATTATGGGGGTACAGACGTTTAGGTTACGTATGTTGCCCTTGCCCCCCTCCCCAAGTCCAAGTTTCAAATATGTCCATTCTTCGGGTGGTGCGCATTGCACTCTTTGTGTATGCAAATACCCGTCCCCTCCTGCCTCCTCCCCCCTCCCCCCTCCCTACATTTTGCTTTTTGACCTATTTATGAATAGGGTTTGTCTGCTCATAATTGTTACACCTGTGCAACTGTCATTAGCATACCTGAGTGTTTACGTTTGCAAAAATATGTATGTTGTTATTGCCTATTTCATCATGTAAAGCAGCCTATGAAGTGTTGTCATGTTTTTGCACGTTTCTCAAATAAATCCCCTTTCAAAAATGTAAGTAAATATCTTTTAAAAAGATTTTTTAAAATTATTTTTTCCAGAATTATAGGATTTTAGACTAGGAATTTTGATCTTTCAGGATTTCAGTGTTTGAGATTAAGATCAGCTCCCACTCCACAGGTTTATAGTTTGTTCTAATTTAAACACTGTCCCACAGAGGTGGAGGTGTATGGGTGCTGTGGTAGCCATGCAGGGAGGGGTCACTGGCTTCCCACAGAGAGTGGGGACGGTCCACCAGAGGAGAAGGGCATGTGCACCTGGTCTGAGGGCCGACTCCTCCTGGATTCTGAAATAAACAGTCCAGGAAGAGCCAATGGCACCTGATCGTCTCACAAGATGGAGAAGCATCAGGAAAGAAAAGATCAGGACAGAAACTATAAACGTAGTGACTCACAATCCCATCTTGCTCTATGACAAATCTTTAGTGGCCCCCATAAACACACAGAAGATAAAATAGCACAAACACCACCCTCCCCAATCCCCAATCCCCCAGCTGCTTTGTTTTTCCCACAGTACCCACCTCACTTCCTAACAAATTTGCTTCTTTCTGTTTGTTATTACTGGCCTTTGGCCCTCACCAGAGTTTCAGCCTGTGAGAACTGGCTCCTTTTGTCTCTTCTGTTCACTGCTCTATTCCCAGTGCCCAGAACACTGCCTGGTACACAGTAGGCACTCACTCAATATATGTTGAAATGACTAAATGAGCCAAAATGTAAAAGAGATGAATGGAAAAAATGGGACAGATAAAAGCACCCCGCCGAGAGCCACATACTCGTAAGGGGCAGGCAGAGGTCTGCCTCTGAGCCACCTAGTGACCATGTCACATGGGGGCATACCTGGCTCCAAAGGCAACGGAGACTGCGCACCTGGGCCAAGGAGTAAGTTTGAGGGTCTCCTCTATGGCACGCACCTGGGGGACTGTGACTTGAGATTGTCAGGGAATCCGAGCAATCCCCTTACAAAGGTTGACAAGGACAGGGCCAGCAACTCAGGCCATAATGCCTCAGATCAAGAGAGGACCAAGGGGACCCAAACAGGCAAGATTCTCCATGTGCAGCCATGTTTGGTTCACCCCAGCCACAGTCCCCACAAGGGGACACAGAGGTGTACTGCTGTGACCAATTCAGCCAAGAAAAAAATGTTAATGGATAAGCCAAATACCAACACATCCTATAATATACTGTTAGAACTTACTCTGTTGATAGAACCTCCACAATGAGCTGATAAGAAAAAAAAACTGCTGCCAAGGCAACTGATGAGTCAACAACTACATGGTGACTTAAGGTGACCATCAGCCAAGAGAGGCCTTTGGGTTTGGGGACGTGGCCCTGCAGCCCTTCTTTCTGGCAGTGACGGCAGTAGGGACAGGGTCTATGAAGGGCCTGGTCCTGGATGCTCTGCTTCCTGCCCCATCTAATAGATACACGTGAAGACTGATTCGGTGCAGAAATTCAGGATAGGTCTCCAAAAGATTTTAACATAAATATTATTCGTGATAAGCAGGTCTGTTTCACCTTGCTCCTGATATGAACAGAACAATCAGTTTCTTTGTAATACTCTTCAAAAGTAACTTGGTATACGAAGCTTCAACTGATTTTCTCAGTCATTACACAAAAACAATCATACCCATAACTAAGCTGAGGGTTTGGCGAAGCCACAGAGCTTCTACCTGGCTAGATCTCAGAAAACAAGCGCATTTGGAGGTCCCCAGCCCCACAAAGTGGACCTGATTTAGCACATTAACTCATTCTCATGGTCTCCTCGTCTATTGCACTTGAAAAATAATCCAGCATTATGTTTCATCACATATTTTTATTAAACGATTTGACCATTTCTTTCAAAGGACTCTAGCAAAGAAATAAACCTCTTTTTGCTATTCTCTACCATAAGAAAATGTAATGGCTTTCTCAAATCTACTTTAGAGTCTCACAGAACTATAATGGTTTTAAATTGAGATAGGAAAGAAAATTAAGTGTAACTGGTAAAAGAAAAATTTACACTGTTGTGAAACAGTTCTGATTTTAGGGTTCAAAGTATTCATGGGGGAATACAACTACTCTTGCAAACCTGTATACAGACCTTCACTTCACGCAGAGTATCCAGAAATTTGTCGTGTCTGTTGGTTAACATATGCAGCTGATTTCCAATGTCCTTTTCAGAAAGTTCTTTGGTTTTGGGCGTGCTGGTCTGATCTCCAGGAGCTAGTTCAATATCTATTTCTACATCCTAAAACACAAAGACAAACAAGCAAAACCAAATGGTCAAAGAGTGAAAGAAAATCTAAGAAGCACAATACCTATAGGCTTCTTGTTACAATTTTGGCCAAGTAATATTTTTATTTGTTTCTTGGAAGTTTATAAGTATTTAAATAATCTCAAATTCTAAAATAAACAAATAAAAACCAGATTAACTATACCAGACCCCTCCCTCTCTTTTTAAAAATGACTATGAAAATGTTAGCATTTTGCTTTCATATTTGGGTTTTAAAAAGTAAAATAAAAGTAAAAACTTTAAGCAATAAAAATACTAAGGATTATTAGGAATTATAGCCTATCTTCCTTCAAAATGCAATACAGTTTGCTTAGCTGCCTTGCCCATTCAAATTAAGATACTGTCAGGGTCATGGCATAGCATGTTGTCAGTAGAATGTTTAATACGACTCATTCCCAAAGAGGAATGAACCTTATTTCTGTCTGAAGCTTCTGGGAAGTCACTGTCAATCATCATCAAACTCTTCCTCTAAGTCAAGGTATCAACAATTTGGTGTGCACCCTCAAAAATGCAGAAGAATCACTTCAAAGTTGGCAATTTATTTCACACAGGAAGATTACAGAAAGAAGATCAAATCACCAAATGATCTAGCATTTAGCAACAGTTGAAAAAATACTTTAAATTCTTATTTGTTAATAAAATGAGTAGATACCCTACACATGGCAGAGGGAACAAACAACCCCTTTTAGAGCAAAGACGGGGCAGTGCCCCCTCTGCAATACTAGGTGACTGTCTTCTAAAACCCAACACTCCAGACGAGCTGAACTTCCAAAAACCAACAATCTAAAGAAAACACAGCCTAAAAAAATCTATGCCTGGAACAATGCCAACCACTCCCTCCCTCATGAAGCACTGAAAGCCATCAAGACTAAGGCATCCGCCTTGGCTGACAGACTCCCACAGGAGCCAAAGGCTTCCCACTGCCCCTCCAGGACTAGGCAGAGATATGGAAGGTTCTTAGCAGGCTGCTGGTGGAACCAGCTAGAGCCACGGTTCCTTTGTGGCAGCACAAAAACCGTTATAACACAACACGGGCTATTTCTCACTTGGAGAGAACAATCACAAAATGGTAAAACATTCTGCACTGAGCAGTACTAGCTCATGATAAAGTGACCTATCTCAAAACTGAATGGCAACACAGAGATGCCTCTCAATTTTAACTTAAAAAAATATCTAACTGAACTTAGGCTCCACATTCAGCACTTCCAGGTACAGACAGGTTTTGATACATTGCTCTTGCCCTAAAAACATCTAAGGCTGACATAAAAAATTCTTCAGCAGGCACGGGAACTCTGCCTATGGAGCCCAGAGCTCACCTCTTCTTTGGACTCACTGTTCTCCCGCTCGCGAGGCTCCTGCTTGACATGTGTGACCATGGCGAAGGCAGCTCGGTCGTGGCTGTCGGCCAGGTTGATGACATTGGTGATGGACGGGAGCATGGCCCCCTGGCAGCTGGTACCAATGGGGGTGCTCTTCTCACACACGGCCAAGAGAAGCTAGGGAGGTTTGTGGGAAAGAAAGCAAACCTGAGGCACACGTGGCATTCGGGCACCTGCGGATGGCTCGCAGCCCTTGGCTCGGGTCCATTCTTCTCCCCAAGGTAAGATGGAGTCTCAACTTCTCCCCCAGGTGTCCCTCACTCAGGTATCTCTGACTCAGCAGGTCCAAGTACAAGCTCAGCATCTTTCCCCCCGTGTCCCCTGTCCCCTTCCAGATGGACTCCCTCTCCTCTGACACCTCAAAGGCACCTCCAAGACACAGACGCCCTCTGCTTCACTCACAGTGTGGTGGTGAATACAGTTAATAGCAGTGTACTTTTCAAAATCGCTAAGAGTAAATTTCAAATGCTCTTGCCACAAAAAATGTTAAGTATATGAGGTGATGGATATGTTGACTAGCCTGATTTAACTATTCCATATTATATTCACAAATCATATCATCACTCTGTACTCCATAAATATATCCAATTATAAACTGTCAACTTACAATAATAATGTTATAATAATAAAAAAGAGCAGGAAAGGCCAGCATGGCTGGGACTGATGAGTGAGGGACAGAGAGACAGATCAGGGCTGCAGACAGGGGCAAGGGTCCAGTCACCTGGGGCCATAGGACCACAATCTGGAGGCTGGATTTCATGCAAAGTACAATGGTAAGAAGTAACGTAATCTGCTTTATTCTTTAAGAACAATTTTGCAACAACAGAGAAAACTATGACAGACAGGCAGGAGGGGAGCGAACACTAAGGAAACTGCTCCCATTGTGCCTGTGAGAGATGACGGTGGCCACACTGTAGCCTTGAGCTGGTAAGTCCCAGTGATGGACCAGACAAGAGGACAAAGGAAGAAATGGAGGACTCTGCTTGTGCCCTTCCTCCAATCGATTCCTGAGTTCCTGACACAGCCAGGGTCTTATCTGTCTTTGTATTTTTAGTATCTGACCCAGTGCCTGGCCCATACTCAGCAATCACTAGGTCTCTTGAATGAGTGACGGTAAAGCAGGGACTCTGCCACCGTGTGGCCATCAGCAACATTCCAAATACATGCTGCTTACGGCACACACAGGAAACATGCGAGCAAGCTCTGAGACCCGGCGCCACTTTCCCTTTTGCTCATCAAAGAGAATTTAATGTCCTTCTGTCTCAGGTGTCTTATCAGACAAAATAACTTGGTAACCTGGTTTCATGCATTCCAGGTAAGCAGACAGGAATTACTTGCTTAGCACTGGTAACCTGCTATAGAAAACCTAAGTTGCCTGGTGCCTTAAGTTGATGAATGAAGGACGGCTGGCTTGAATAAACAGGAAACTAGAAGTCTCACTACAACCCTGTTAGGAACATCACAGAACATCTGACTTACCCTCCGCTGAAATGCCAATCCTACTCTAGGTCTGCACCTCATCCTTACGACCCTGACCATTTAAACACACCTGCATTGCCGACACCCGACTCCTCACGCTAAGGATCCAAACCCATAGTACCGTCGGGCACGCTGGCCTGGCTGTTCTGCCCGCCTGCTTTAAGAGTGATGACAGCCGACACTCACTATACACGGCACCATTTTCTAGGGCATGCAGACAGAATTTTAAAATCTTTTTATCTGAAGAAAACTGAATCTTTGCCTACAAACTAAAAAATAGTATTCAATTTTCTGATAAGGGACTTAAAATCAGCCAAAAAAAACTTTGGATGAACACTTGGCTTTAAATCTTTATTTCTTCCTACAGATTACAAGGTTTATGTTGAAGATTTTGAATTCACCTTAGTGTGCCTGAACGCCTCCTGGCTTCAGTTCCCCACTCAGAAAAGCCAGGGCTGCCCCGGGGCCACAGACGGTGCTCTGAGTCCACCCTACCTCAATGCACTGCTTGATCCAAAAGTGGTTTCCCATGGCTTCCCAGTTCTGGGAACAGGTCACATAAAGTAGGCGCTCATAGACCCGACGTTTCATAGAGTTGTCAAAAACCTCAAAAAACTTTGCCCTGATGAGTGGCTGGGCACAGCGCAACCCGGAGAGAAAGGCAGGCTCAAGTTTCGCAGTCAGTTCACTGCCAGACAGCGTCTCATCCCTGTAATCAAAGGCGTAACACCAAGCTGTCAGAGCCAGGAAGGACAGTGGGCTCCATAAGCAAACAAGCAGAAAACAGATGGTACCAGCGTTCTGAAATGCCATGATGAAAGCTAAAAATCATGGCGGGCTCAGGCAGCATTTTAGCAAAAGGTTTATTAATGACACCAAAATATGTTACATGACTTAGTATTTAAACAAATATTTTCAATTCAGGTTAAGGTAATAGATTGAAGTCAAATGTTGGTGGGTCAGAGAACACATTATGGACCAATGTTTGATTAACTGCGGTAATTACCTGTAAACATAGTTAACAAGGTCTAAAAACTGGGCATTTAATTCAAGGTCTTCTGGAAAACGTTTTTCTATGTAGGTCATCATTTTCACAAGCAAAATGGACTTCTCCCGGAGTGTTGGTGTCTGTATGGAATTTGTTTTTTAAAAGAAAGGTAAATTACTCCTATTTGAGAAAGGATATGTTTCAAAATATTTCTTTTTTAAGCTCCTACGATTTTGTCAAGTGCAATAAGACAAAGTCATTTCTAAACAGAAAAATCAAAGATAGCTTTGGTTATCTTTGGAGACTTAAAATCAAAACATGCCAATATAATTTTGTAGGCACTACAACTCACTGTGGAGAGAAAGCAACTGAATTATAAAACAAATCAGAAGTTTGCAAGCACCTCACTGAGATAAATAATATTCCCTTATTATTATTATCCTTAACCACAGAGGGTGACAAGATTCATTTAACATTTGAACAGAAGTAAGGCAACACTAAGATGAGCTACCTGTTAATCTCGTTTCTACCTAAAATCTGTTAAGTGCACTGAAAAAAACCCATCTGAAGGAAAGATACTATGAACACAAATATGGGGGGAAAAATGTTTTGCTTCACAAAGTTTCAGAAAGTAAGGCGAGGTGAGGCCTTACTTTTCTTTTTTCTTTTTTTTTTTTGAGACAGAGTCTCACTCTGTTGCCCAGGCTAGAGTGCCATGGCGTCACCCTAGCTCACAGCAACCTCAAAGTCCTGGGCTCAAGTGATCCTCCTGCCTCAGCCTCCCAAGTAGCTGGGACTACAGGCATGTGCCACTGTGCCCGGCTAATTTTTTCTATTTTTAGTTGTTTGGGTAATTTCTTTCTATTTACAGTAGAGACGGGGTCTCGCTCTTGCTCAGGCTGGTCTCGACCTCCTGAGCTCAAGGGATCCTCCTGCCTCAGCCTCCCAGAGTGCTAGGATTACAGGCATGAGCCACGGTGCCCAGCCGAGGTCTAACTTTTCTTTTACGTTCAGAGGAAGTCTCTTGGCCGAGCATGGCACCCTCGTCCCAGCTCACCTGATTGGCTGCCATTGGGGAATTATTCTTCACCCATTCTTCCACAATTTTGACCACAGCCCGGAGGATTTTGGCATCAGGTGATTTCTCAATGAGCGATGTGAGAATGGCCTGAATGAAGTTCTTCCTCATCTCCATGCTCATCACCGCCAGCCGCGTTTTCACCAGCTCCAGGCTGAGCATCACCAGCTCACTCGTGCCTATCCCCATGAAGGAGAGAACACGCCCCACAAAGCTCTACACACACATGTAAATAGGCAGCCACTGTGCCAGTGGCATACTGGGCTCTGCCCATTTCCCCCAAATATTTTCTCCAGCAATTAGAGCTCTGAGATCTGAAGCCTCTTACCCTCTTACCACTGCACCTTGCAAAGGTAGCCCTGTAAGAGCCCTCCCCATGAGAGCAGGAGATGACGACACTGATGGGACCACCAAGCCCTGAAGTCACACTCATGGCCCCTGCATTCTGAGGTGCGTCCCACAGCCGTGCCAACCACAGTCCCAAACAATCACCACCCACCCCCCACAGAGCATCCAGATTCCTGGAGTCCACGGCTCGTGTCTGGAAGCTGTGACTTAATTCTTCAGAAATAACAACTCTGATTAAGCGATCCCTGTTTTATACCGAATGCTAGGTAACTCTCACTTAGTGGAGAATGATTCACATAAAAATCCAACTACTTTAAAATTTCTTCACTGTTAATAACATTCATAAATTTTAAAAGCACTTCATTTTTTTTTTTAAGAGCTGGGTTTCATTGTCGCCCAGGCTGGAGTGCAGTGGCTGTTCACAGGTGCACTGAAGCCTTGAACTCCTGGCTTCAAGTGATCCTCCTGCATCAGCTTCCCAAGTAGCTAGGACTACAGACTTGCACCACCACACCCGGCTTAAAAACAGTTCCATTTTTAAAATGAGTCTTGCTTTTAAACCCCAGAGCAAATGATAACGAATCACACATAAACAAGACTGCATGTTAATTCACGTTCACTTCAGAGCTCAATCACACAGCCTGCACCATCCAATTGTTCAACAAAGTCTGAGGCAAAAACCTGGGGTGGTGGGTTTGTCACCTGAGGCTGCTTCCGTGCTTCCTGATGCTGCCTGTGGATTCAGGTGCTCTCGGACCATCTTCTGCAGGGAGCGCATAAACACAGAAATCAGCCTGTCTATGTAGCTTGGGTTGTTGCTGCAGGCGGACTTGAGAATCATAAGGGTCCCTGAAGTGCAGAAGTTGCCAGTTGTTTCACAGAAAAGTAACAACAAGAAAAGTAACAAAAATGTGCTATTTAAAACATCCCAGATGTTAACATTGTAAGTTTTCACATGGCTTCCACTGCATTTTGAAGCACTATATTTTCACTTCTAATTCTTTTATTTTTTGAGACAGAGTCTTGCTCTGTTGCCCAGGCTAGAGTGCAGTGGTGTCAGGCTAGCTCACAACAACCTCAAACTCCTGGGCTTAAGCAATCCTCCTGCCTCAGCCTCCTGAGTAGCAGGCCATCACAATGGCTAGCTAATTTTTCTATTTTTAGTAGAGACAGGGTCTCGCGTTCTTGCTCAGGCTGGTCTTGAACTCCTGAGCTCAAGTGATCCTCCTGCCTTAGCCTCCCAGGGTGCTAGGATTATAGGCATGAGCCACCACACCCAGCCTTTGACTTCTAATTCTTAATTATGTCAAGTCACCATGCATAAGAACTGATTTTTTCGTTTCAGTAGAAACAACATTCTCACCTTCAGTTCTGGATTTTATTTTTAGGTTATGGCAAACCACCCTAAATGAATATTTTTGTCCCATGATATTTTTGGGAAAATCAAGGAAACAAAGGAAGAAAACCTTTTTATAAAAAATCTAGCCTGTTTGGACATGACAAATATTTTAGAATTCGATTTGTACTTCATTCTGAAAAAACACATACGACCAATAAAAATCAGCAAAGCCAACACTAGAACATGAACCCCAAGTACAGGAAAAAACTATCTTTCATAAATGGCATTTTTACAATCATCTTGATACTGACCTACACATGAATTTTTAAATCCATATTCATGAATCACATCACAGAACAATCAAAGGGTATTTGCTATTTCCAAAAGCCATCATCCCATATTTGGACAATTTCAGGCTTGCTCTGTTAAAAGACTGATTCTCTAGAGAGCCAGTCTCATTCTAAGACAGGCAATCCATGATAATGATGAAAACAGGGACATCTCTGCTGTCCCTGGGTGCTGCGCTCTCTACTATGGAGCAAGTGGCGGTGCCCGAGCCCTGGATCTAGCACAGGATGGAGAATGGTGTAGCCACCTCTCCAGGCCCACCTCATCCTGTAGCTGCCCTGCTCTCCCACCCCCCACCAAGGAGGGAGGCAGGCCACTGAGGTCCGCTCTTCCCAACGAGAGTCCTTTGGAGAATGCACAAGAAAGGAGACATTAGTGCTATCCTGTGATGGAAGCCTGGATCTACAGGACAACTCACTTTAAAAAAAGTCACAAAAGCACTCTTCACTCTCCAAACCTACATGGTTCCAGAACAGAGAGCAAGGAGATACCATATTAACCAAATTTACCTGGCTCCTAAATTTCAGAGAGCAAGTAGCCAGAGTTTGGAGAGCAAGGAATTGATCCAAAAATAACTTAGTTTGCAAATTCAGATACGAACGCCTGCATAACAATGTCGGTGTGTGTATGTATTTGTGTGCACGTGTACAGAAAAATGACACACACCAAAATGTTACGACTGTTTATTATTGGGCAGAAAGGCTGACAGGTGACTTTTCTTTAGTTTTCCCTAATTTATATTTTCAAAGATTTACACAATGGTTATGGAATAAGGGAGAAAAAAAATTTGAAGGGGTGTACATAAAGTCTAATCCTAATCAAAGACATGAGTTGGACAAAAGCAGAGGGAGTACTAGACATTTGGCTTCCAGGTACCCGGGAGGCCAAAGTTACCCAGCTGCCCCCATTACCCGAGAAAGCAATTTTCCTTTCACCTTGGTCAGCCAGAGCCTCGACAATTAGATGGAGACAAGTTCTTGTCTCATGGTGGCTTATTTACAGGTGGACATTGTGAAAGGCAGTAATTCCGCACATTTGCACACGGCTTACATAGCGTTGGTGTGGTCAATGTAACACTGGTCGGCAGGATCCACCCGCCACGGGCATCTACCCTCACAAACAACTCCTGCATCAGAGAGTGAGGAGGGGGACACGGAGGAAGAACCGGTGGTGGGTTGGGCGGCGCCGTTCACCCCAGTGACTACAGGGGACGGTGACCTTACGGACACCAGGCCAAGACACAGACACCCAAACAACACATCAGCTCAAAGCTCCTCCCAACCACCCAAGCCTTTCCCAGACGGGAAGCACGTGCAGTGAACAGGGACCAGTAACGAGCTGAACCACTGCTGGAAAAGACAGACACACACTCACCGAAGAGCTGGGAGGGATTGGCATTGGTGGCCTTCTCGTAGTTGGTGAGCCCTTCATAGATGACCTTCCCGACGGCCGCGTAGAGGCACTCCAGCTCTTCGTACTTGGAGGCCACACTGGAAGTACCTGAAAATCAAGGTGGGGACCCGGGCACTGCAGTTAGGGCTCTCGGTCCGTCCAATCCTACACCAGGGACGGAGCTCTGGTGGCAGTGGCATCTCTAGAAAGTGACAAAGGCACTTCTCTTCCAGTGTGGGACAGCATGGGCCTCACCTCTGGGCTGGTCCCTACTCTACACAGCCACATGACAACCTTTTACCTCACCAGAATGTGCATGTAATAACACTTTTCACTACAGCCAAAATCTGACCTTGCCGACTATTCAACATTTGACACGCTATTTTAACCTTTCCTTTAATAGCTTAAGGAAATAGTAACGTTCAGCTAACGAAGAACTGGATTTCCAAAGCAGACGAAAAACAACACAATGACTGCTGCCATTAAGTGTTTGTGTCGATTTCTAAAGGAAAACTTGAGAATACAAAGAAATGTGGGACAATAAAACACTCGCTACGGTGACTGGAGGAGCATCCTCAAATGACAAGTGCCCACCCGGCCGCTCCGAAAGAAAAGCACCGACAGACAAGGTCACATACTTGGCTCCGTTGGGAAAATACTCATCAGGCGTGAGAGAAGGCTGTGGACGGCTCGCAACACCTTGGTGTTTCCACACGTCATACAGGCTGCGATGCCACGCTGCAGGGGCTTGAAGCTGCTGAGGATGGCCGGGGACTGCAGAACCGTTAGCAGGAAGCTCAGCACCTCCAATCCAGTGCAAATGTTCCCATAGTTCACCTGGTTTGGCTGCTCCTGGAATGGAGAACACAAGGCCACTCACAGCGACATGGATACTCCAGTACACTGAACTACGGCAACACAAATCCAGCTCAAGTTAAACCACGTGCCATGAAGTATTTGGAAACTAAGTAACAAAATCACTAAAGAATGAACACACCATACATATAAAAATATGTGACCACCACATATCATAGGATTTCATAAGGATGATTGTTTTATAAATTTGCTTTAAATATTTACTCAAACATCTTTTAAAAGGCTCATTAAAAATATTAATATTCAATATTTTTAAAATCACTAAAATCTAGGCTAAAAACAAAAAGTTACTGCAATGAATTTTGCTTTTCTCTTCCCATTTTTTAAGTTAAAATACAAAAATACAAATATCCTTCCACAGAGAAGTATCTTTCAAACTGTGTATCATGGAATCAATCAAATAGATGATGGCAACATGAAGAATAAATAAAAACAAACAAAAGAAAACTGAATAAACATAAAATAGAGGGCATGGTTTGTAGGAAGAACGGGCGCTGCTTTGTCCACCTGTGGTTTACACACACACGTGTCCTGTACGTGCAGTGTGTGTATGCACCGGGTCGTGAGGTAAAATCACTCTCATTCACTGTGGGTCACAGGATCAAGGACAGAAAGCCTCTGTGAGCACAGCACATTGCTCCATGAAATGCTAGCCTTTTAAGGGGCAGAAGCTGTCCACTATGGCCCAGCTTTCAACTATGACTGCGTTTGATGGGAAAGTACTTTGACCTTTCAAAGAGAAAAACAGGTGAGAAACCTCCAGGCAGTCCACAAGTTATGCACCAAGCTAGAATCAAAGCAGGTGCTGTGGCCTCAGGGGCTGCTTATAGCACGGTTTCATGGGTAAAACAGAGCAATATGTTAGTCTTTGCAGTACAAAATAACAAATGCTTACAATAGGCTTTATAATCCTGATAGTGAAATCTTTCCAATTCCATCAAGCAGTTAGAAAAACTGAATCTGGATAACGCAAAAGAATAGCTTTTGCCACTACCAGAAAATTACAGGATCACAGTTTTTTACAAAAACAAACCAAAAAGACCCATAAAAAACCACCACCAAAATAAATCATTTGGGACTATCTCCTTGTTACCTGACTCAAGCCCTTGTGAGTATAACAAACTGTTCGATAATAGCCCATCAATAAAATCTGTTTTAAAAATTCGAGCTTATTTATTTATTTTTGTGGAGATGGGGTCTCACCATGTTGTCGAAGCTAATCTCAAACTCCTGGCCTCAAGGAATCCTCCTGCCTCGGCCTCCCAAAGTACTGGGATTATGGGTGCAAGCCACTGTGTCCAGCCTTAAACTTATTTTAAAAGTTGCTGTATAAGTCAACTAAAAATGTTTATCCCAAGCCAACAGGTAGGTCAGTTTAAGAAGTAAGTCCGCAAAATGCCAAGAGAACTCTATGTTGAAACACTCCAAAGTGCACCTGAGGTTAGAATCAGGGCTGAAGTTCTAAAGCCATTCACAGTTGAACTGCTGCCTCCTTGGCAGCAGCCAGAGAGAACGTGGCAGGGGCCATGACTGGCCAAGGGATGAGAGATTTGGGGCTTAAGGGTCAGGCACAGAGGAATCCACAAATGTCCAGCCCCTGCCCAGGCCAGTGTCTCATAATGGCCTCAGTGGCCCTGTCCCGGCTCTTCCAACACTCACACCTACCACAGTCATCAGTAGCTTGTCAAACCACTGCAATTTGAGCTCAGACTTGGACCACATGTCCGGCCGTAACGCGGTCTTCAGAAGATTTACACATCGACGAGAGAGCACCTCTCCAGGAGACCCCGCGGTGTTGGTGTTGTCATTAACCTAGAAATTCATCCTAATTAGAGCTGGCATTTCCTTGTGTCCAAGTTTATAGCCATTTTTTCGACACCGCTTCTCCACTGTGCCCCGTATCCTTGCATCTTTGCATACTTGCTCTCTCCCGGATCTTTAGCTCACAGCCACCTCCTCTTCTGCTACCTCACCGCAGCCAGGCACCCTCCTGGACTGGCCTGACTCACTGCCCCCAGCACCCAGCCACTCTCCTCTGCAGGGTGTGTCAGTGGTGACTTGTAATCAGTTGTGTGATGGAGAACCTGGCCCTGTTGGTCCCCACAGGACTTCCTTACATACTGCAGGGACACAGGAATTATTCATTGGTTGGATAGTTTAGTAGATTCTTTTCAGTACTTGGAAATTCTCAACAGTACTGCAAGATATACTATTTAAGTTATAACTTTCTTTTTTTGAGACAGAATCTCAATCTGTTGTCCCAGGTAGAGTGTAGTGGCGTCATCATAGCTCACTGCAACCTCAAACTCCTGGGCTCAAGCAATCCTTCTGCCTCAGCCTCCCGAGACCCGGGACTACAGGTGTGTGCTATGACGCCTGGCTAATTTTTTCTATTTTTAGTAGAGATGGGGCTTGCTCTTGCTCAGGCTGGTCCCAAACTCCTGAGCTCAAGCAATCCTCCTGCCTTAGCCTCTCAGAGTGCTAGGATTACAGGTATGAGCCACTACACCCAGCCAATAGTTACAACTTAAGATTCCCAAATTTTTTAAAAATAAAAGACATAGGGAAATTTTATTTATGATGGTTTTTTGAAATATAAAAAGTTTCAGAAATGGATTCCCAACAACTCCATGAATATATGTATTGACATGAATGATAAATAAACCAAGTTATAATAACATTTAAATTATTCAATGTTGTACATATTTTATGCAGGTTGGGATCACCAACACCTTTACTGAGCTATGTACCATTCCCATTTTAAGGACATAAAAAAGAAAATTTGGAAGTTACACGATTAGCCCGAGACCTACATATTTCACCAATGTTAACATGCTGTTAATTACAAGGTACATCGTTATTTTATTACTATTGAAAGAAAAATGTTTTTTAAAAAATCCTATCATAGGCAGACTTCAGAAATATTAATCTGCCACAAAATCAATGACATCTGGCATGGAAGTGACAAAACTAGCTCTCAGACCTTGGTTTGGCTATTTCTTTTTTGACTAACACCTGTCACAGATAATGCCCTGGAGTGTTACTAAGTAGTCTGTGTTCTGCAGCGTCCCCAAAAAGTTCAACATCCCCTACCTGACATGCCACGCGGATGAGGAAGTTCACCACGGTGTCTGTGTGCTGCTTGTCGATGGGCTTGGCAAGCAGAGAGTCAGCTCCAGGCAGCGACTGGCTCCTCCCAAACACCTGGAAAAGGATGGTCCTTTAAGGCAGGAATAGGATTCTCAACAGAAATTTCCAACACAAGGTGCTGACTTGTTCATCTAGCTAATGGGTATGTGGTATCCCCAGGGACAGAGGCCATTCTGGGCATTGGGGTATTGGGGACACTAGAGATAGCTGTGGTTTCTGTCCTAGTGAAGCCCACATGCCCAGCAGGAGAGCAGATGGCTAACAGACACAAGAACAAGGAAGGAGCAAAGGTCCCATGAAGGAGAACAAGAGGGCATGGTCTGGGAAGTGAAGGGACAGCATTGGGGCGACCTTCAGAGGAGAAGGTGGCCATGAGGAAAGGCAACAGCTCCAGGTAGAGAGAAAAGAGCCAGCCGACATGTCCTAAGTGAGCAGAGAAGCTAGAGTGTCTGCAGAGCAGAGGAAAGGCCCGTGTGGCCAAAGCACCCTGAGAAGGTACTGGGGGATGAGAGCCATCAGCAGGGCCTGGTCCCCTAGGCCCGGGAGGTCACGGTCCAGGGGAGGTTTCAGTGAGGGCAAGGATAATCTGACTTGATTTAACTTTCTATTTTGAAATGATTCTAAGATTCACAAGAAATTACAAAAACTGTACAGAGGTTTCACGGACCCTTCACCCAGCTTTCCGACTTTGGTTCCGAAAAGAAAGTTTCTCGGTTCTCTGGCAGCTTTGTGAAAAACTGAAGGGAACAGAAGTGAAGGCAGGGAGAGGAGATGGGCGGCGGCTCCACGGCCTCATCACGAGGGGGAGGCTGAGACGGGGATGGGGTGGGCACGCATGGCAGGGCTGACAGGACTTGCTCTTGGCCAGATGTGTGGGGAGAAGCAAATGGACAAAGTGCAGATGGTCCCGGGTTTCCAACTGGAGCCCAGGGCAGACAAAGGTGCCACACGGGACACAGGGACAACGAAGGGGAGAGAAGAGCTCAGCCTTAGTCACACGGGGCTGGAAGTGGAGCGGCCACCCCAGCGCCAACCAGCCAGCAGGTCCAAGACCCCAGGCGAGGTCTGGAGCTCGGGGCTCCCTGGGCCACCAGTCACCTCAACAAGCGGTGGAGAGCGTGATGCCCAGGACCCTCCTGCGCTGCCCTCCCAACAACATGGGATACACTGTCTTTTCAAAAAAATCGATCACAACATGGTCACATGTTCTCAATTTTCTTACTTCAAAAATTCTCTTGATGCCTTTCTGCAAGTAATTAACCATTATTGACAGAACTCTAATGGTACTAAATGAATACAAAGAAAAATACGTCTGGTGACTCGGGGACACCTTGAGTGAGCAGCGTCTCATGGAGTTTCTGTCTGGTGAGCACAGCTGCTCCCAGCCACCTCCCCAGCTTGCAGCTCATGCAGCTCAGCACTGCACCCACATTCAAAATGTGCCCAATAAATGACACGCTCCCACGAGGACTCACGGCTCCCGTAAGAAAGCATAAGATCTTACTGCACTGATGGCTCCGGTGGCCGTCCTGAAGCGTTTCACTTCCTGGGCAGAATCCACTGACAGGCCTCTTTTAATGGAGGATGAGACAGAGTTGACTCCTTCTCCACTGGAATTTGGGTCCATATCTGAATCCGGCTTAAACACACACATGCACACACACACACGCACACACATACATGCTTGACTTTATTGACTGGTTTCCAGAAGAATCACAAGGAATACAACTGGGGATGGTACTGAGGGTTGACCTTCCTACCTGCTGGTCCTTGATCCTCTGCAATTCCCACTTGATGACGACCTCAGACAGGTCCACGGCCAGCCTCCTCTGCTCGATGGTAACGCTGGGTGTGAAGCCCAGTCTCTGCATGGCGCTCACCATGTGCTGCACCAAGTGGTGACGCACTGGGTAGTACACCTGCGGGCACAGCGCCAGTGTCACGTCAGGAATGCTGGACCACGGACCCAGCGCACACACACGTGACCCACTTTGGCCACACACACACACACACACACGCGCACGCACGCACGCACGGCCCAACCTTATGCTCAACAATTTGAATCGTGACTTAATCAAGGAAATTCTCATCACCTTATATCTGTGTGTTTATCACCCTCTCCTTGCCCCCAACTGAGTTTCAACATAACAATATATTTCAGCCTTTTGGTAGTATCTTTAAAACATGTTGAAAAATCGAATTCTCTTTAGACAGGTAGGCAAGTCTAATGATATGTAGCAAACTTCAGACTTGACATCATAAAAGTTTAAGATGTACCAAGAAGCAAATTTCTGATTCTAAAAGAGCTGGCTATAAAAGAATTAGCTTTCAACTCAATCCTTTCTCCTCTACCCAAAAATCTACATGTACCATTTACATATAAATAAATCTCACAAAGTGGGTGACTTGGCTAAAGAGAAGGAAGTACTAGCTTCATGAATAACTTCTCAAGTCAGGTTACCAAATCTAGAGTTAATGATGACCACCTCCCACCTTAAGGGATCAACTTATCTGCATAAAATTTTAACTCAGTACAGTATTTACAAGTGCAGTATTAGACAGAAAGAAGCACACATCCAGGACATGATTCTCTGCACTACTACAACTTCCATGATGATAAAGCGACACACACACACACACACACACACATACATCAGTGAACCAGAATCAATGAATGACCACCTTATGACTGTAGAACAAAGAGACAAAAGTTCAAAGCAACTGTCTGGAAATGCATTACACACCCATCTGTGGTACTTCATACCTTAAAATGCTGCACTATCAAATGTAAAATGTGGACCAGCTGAGGGACGGTGTGTCCCTCCTCCACGATGATCTTCCTCGTCCAGTGCGTCAGCATCTGGTGCCCATCCTCCATTCTGGCAGGCACAGCTGGGGTCAAAATGGCCATTGCTTGTCTGACAATTGCTCGAGCTTCCATCGCATGAGCCTTGAGAAGACTATGAAAAACCTAAAACAGAACAGAAATTCTTACATAAGATGAGAATGAAAGCTTTAAAAAAAACAACAAGATACAATCACCTAGGACCAAGGTATGATAATTTTTGCAAAACAATTTTTTAAAAAATTCCTTAGTACTCTCATTAGGAAACAACTTAGTTGCTTTCTCTTTCATTAAGTTTTGATCAATGAATCCATTCATTCTAATATTCACTGAGTACCTACTATGTGCCTATGCTGGGCTAGGCCAGGGTATGCAAAGACCAATGAGACCCAGCTCCTGGCAGGGAGCTTATGTCTCACCTAACCAGCAGAAAGGTAGCTGAGGTATAAAGATCATTTCACTCTGGGACTTGTGATGGTTATGGGAAAACCATCAAAGGTGGTCTCACAGAATAAGACAAGAGCCATCACCGATCAAATGCTGAACACTCAAGTGTATTATGACATTTAATTCTTACACAGAGACAATAACTCGCCAAGGGGCACAGAACTTGTGAATGGAGGGAAAAAAAACTCAAACCAAGCTTGCCTGACATGGTATCACAGCCTAAACCACACAGAGCCTCAAGGAAGAGGTGCTGACAACCCCAACACAGCAGAGAGCCTGTAAGATGCCAGTTCAAAAGTACCCATTGTCTTTGGCTTAAAGGAGTAGGCTGGGACCCTGGACAAAGTCATTTTCAATGCCACGTCAGGGTTGGGAGGTAGAATGCAATGGGTCGAGAAGCTTGAGATGGAAAAGGGACACATTTGATGTAAACACTCTCCTGTGAAGGAGTGAGAGGGCAGGACATACCTGGGGAGGAGGGAGAGAGCATGAGGGTTCAGTGTGGGGTTTTTCCCCTGAATTTTTATTTTATTGTGGTAAAATACACATAACAGAATTTACTATCGTAACCACTTTTAGGTGTATAGTTCGGTGGCGTTAAGTACGTTCGCATTGTGTGCAGCCATCAACGTTCATCCGAAACTTCCTCATTTTGCAAAACTGAAACTCTGTCCCAACGAAACACTTAACTCCCCACTTCCCCCACCCAGCCCCTGGCAACCTCTGTTCTATTTTCTGCCTCTATGAATGTGACTGCTCTAGGGACCTCACAAGTGGAATCATACAGTATTTGTTTTTTCACAGTTTTTATAAGATGGCACAGAGGAGTGTTTTTAAATGGCACTGGGGAAAGACAACAGACAAGGAGTGGCTGAGACTGTACAAAGGAGCAAGTGTGCACAGGGGTACATGGGTGGGATTCACGCGAACGGCAGGTGGACAGGAGGGAGTGGTGCAAAATACCTGAAGGACGATTTTCTTATGTATTGCAAATTTGGCAATAATGTGCGCCAGAAGCAAGTGGCCGCTGTATTTGCAGGCAGGATCTACGCAAGCCTTGGAGAGCAGGCAGGGCCACGCAAAGGTCATCAGGCGGCGCAGCTTGCTGTTGCGGTTCTTGTTGTTGTCGTGGATGTGGTGGGGTGCATGCTCCACCAGCAGTGTGGCGTACTGCAGGAGGTAAATCCTCAGCGAGTCCAGCATGTCTGCCTGCTTCTCTGGATCCAGGACCTGATGGCAAAGACGAGCAGGGAGGACTCATTTCCAGTTCTGAACTGTTACCTACTAAGGATCATATGACAAGTTTAAACCTTAAAAAAAAAAAGAAAACCTATACACACACACACACATACACACACACGAATTCATATACACTACGCATGTGTGTGTAATATTAAGTTTTACAAAGAGGGAATTGATAATGTCACATCAATTTTCCATCTGTATACAAGCTGGAAACTCACCGAATTTATTTCGAAGTTACAAAAAGGGCAGGCTTAGAAGTCAGAAAGAAGAAGGTAGAGGAGCTTGAGGTAGAAAGACAGACTTCTTTGATGCAAGGTGATTTAGGACAAAGTTTCTTAATTTCCAAGTAACTGAGATTTTTTTTTCCTAGTCAACTTTTATCTCTTATTTTTCTGCATTATGATCAGAAAATAAACTGGAAAAATCTCTACTTTCAAAAAATTGTTACCGTTTTCTATGTGACAAGTATCTGATAGATTTTTGTATGTGTTCCACGGATGTAAGAAAAAAGTATACAATCTCCATGTTTATATTAAATCAAGTATAATGGTGGCATCATTCAACTCAAGTAAGTATTCTAACCACCCTCTACCAGATCCATCCAATTCTGAAAAACAGACTGAAGCCTTCCATCATAATTATGTTTTTCATCAAGGTCCTCTATTCCCTGGGTCTGCTGCCTCTTGGCGGCCCCTCCCCACAGGCTCGCCCACCAGCCTTTTTCTCCTTACCCCAACACTCAAAATCCCAACTCCTCACTGGTCCCGGTCAACAGCATCTGACCCAGAGACATGGGCTGAGAAGGTAACACAGGGGAAGGAGCTCTGTCTGGGCCACCACCTCCCTACAGTTGCCCAAGAGGAGGAAAATATCAATATGCAGACCACGAATAAAGCTTTGGGCTCAGCTCTAATTCCTGGGGTGAGGGAGGAAGGGGAAGCTGCAGGAAGGAGGACCATCTCAAGGGACAAAGACTATTTAAGGATTGGTAAACCTGCCAATGAGAACAACAGTCCCCTCCGCCTTGATCCCAGAACAGAAAGGGTGAGAAAACCAGCTGTGTCCTTCCAAAGAACATTAATACATGTGTGGTGGTCACTTCTGGAGACACGCTAATCTGCATTACAGATAGGGAATGCTGATCACTGCATCCCAACAAACACCACTCGATATAACAATCTCAAGGAAAACACAATCTCTAACAGTGACGTTCAACACAATAAGCCTTAGGAAAATAACACAATGCAGGTATTTAATTCAAAAAGGCTCTCTAGTACAAACTGTAAATGCTGTCGTAAAAATGCAGAGACCCTAAAACCTGAGCTGATTTCAGACACTACTACCATCACAACAGATTTTCATTAACTTGGCAAGAAAGGGTCACAGCAGCAACTGGACTCAGTCTAATATTTTCACTGGCTTTTAACAGATTACTTCGCAAAGCTAAAGATGAAAATAGAATATCAAAATTCTGCTATAAGGGTTTTGAAAAATAACAGATATCTAAATTTTCTTTTTGTTGAGACAGAGTCTTGCTCTGTTGTCTGGGTAGAGTACAATGGTGTCATCATAGCTCATAGCAACCTCCAACTCCATAGCTCAAGCGATGCTCCTGCCTCAGCCTCCAGAGAAGCTGGAACTACAGGCGCACACCACTGTGCCCGGCTAATGTTTTCTATTTTTAGTAGAGACGGGGTCTTGCTCAGGCTGGTCTCCAACTCCTGAGTTCAAGTCATCCTCCCGACTAGGCTTTCCAGAGTGCTAGGATTACAGGCATGAGCCACCATGCCCAGCATTATATTTGAATTTTCATTGAGATATATTCTGTTTCTGATTAGAATCTATTAATGAGGAAAAGCTGATTCATTCCAAAGTAAGGCTGTCTTTAAAAATTCACTAAAAAGAATTATAATGTGATATTCTGCTATAACTAACGTAACTGTGAAAAATAAAAGCCTTGGGGAAATAAACTTATATCAATGAACTCCCCTAACACAAACACACATATTCATTCATCTGCAAGTTACTGTCCAAGCCCTCACACTGTGAGTGGTACCTTGGTTATAAACACGCTGGTGATGCTTTCTGGGTTATCTCCTTCTGGGTTAGGAGGTCCTAAGAGTTGCTCCCCTTCCCCCTTCTCAAAGCTGTATAAGAAAGCAGGATTCAAGATATGCTGCAGAACCTACAAAAAAAAATTAAAAATGAAGAAGGAAAATAAAGCCATGCTGTTTATTTCTTTAGTAAGGTAGGAAGGACAGCCAGTTTTGGGCACACCATAAAGTTAGAACTCAACCAAGGGTGCGACAACTAATCTTGGCTTCTATCCAAATGGCAAGCGGAAAGGAGGGTTAAAACTTGCAGAAAAGAGACGTCAGCCTGGTTTCCTCTTCTCATTTCAAAAATGTCATTTTCTAAAATCAAGGAAACTAATAAACTACTTTTCAAGGCTGATTCACTGCTGAATCTGCCTACGGTGGTTCCTCAGCAATGGCATTTTCTGAGCCACAGCCTGGCCAACTGTTTAAGTGTCCATGGAGACATAGCAGAGCAGGAACAGCCCACGGTTCCCTAGAAAACCAGCACAAACACCTGTACCTTCTACCACAGAACAGTGGGACTCACCTTGGCTTTCAGTTCATCTCCAAAGTTGGGGTCACTGAAATCTACAAAGCGAAAAAACAGGGCGCGTTTCTGAGCAATGCTGTAATTTTTCGGAATTTCTTCTTCCATGTACTCTTTTAAGAACGTCATGTTGCAGAGAAAACGACCAGTAAAGGCTCGGAGCAGCTGGAACAGCAATTCTGTATCTCCGTAATTCCTTCTGAAGGGTCAAATAAGAAAACAGGTTAACTTATGGCCAATTTCTTAACTATGTATCAACTCTGACTTGGCTTTAAATAGCTCTAAGTCATAGCCCATTCTACAACTGACTGCACATATCCAATGAACTACAGCTTTGTACAAACTGGGGAAGAGGCTCCCGTTTAGCTTTCCGGACAGAGCAAGTCATGTGATGTGCAGCAGATAGGGTGCACCCACTTGCAGTAGCTCAGCAGGCAGAAGGCCAGCAGCTTGGGCTCCTTCCAGTTGGTGGCAGCCATGTTCTCCTTGCGGTGTCTTTCTTGGAAGGTGTCACTGACCCACACGCGTCTCAACTGGCTCACCAGAGAATGCTGATTGGCCAGCCAGGAGTCATCGTTTTTTACTATAATACTTATGATCTGTCAAAGAAGAGATAATTAGGGAACTGGGTCTTGATTAAACCTTTGGGAATTCCGGAGCCTAAAGAAGAGACACCACCTTGATGGCCTGGAACTGGAGGTCCAAGCGCATGGTGCTGGTGCTGGGTGAGCCGGGGCGCACGGCGGTCTGGGCACCCCCGGGAAGCAGCAGCGTGATGAACCTGTTGGGGTTGGCTGCCAGCACGTCCCGCAGAGGCCTGGCGTCTTTGTGTTTTAAAAAACTCTGAAAGCAAAACAAGCAGGAAAGCTGTCTTAAGCTAAACAAACTCACAAAAAATGGTTAGAGGACATGAATTCTAAGGTTTTTTCCTAACTTTCTCAAGGCAGGCTAAAAGAAAAAAAAAAAAAAAGAGAGAGAATCCTGTAAAGCACCCCTTTTAAATAGTCATAATTTATAATTATGATTTTATAATCCTGGCAGTACATTAATTCATCACCACCAAAATCCTACAAAGAGTGATTCCTGGATCTGAGCTTTTCATATACACAACCAAATGGCAATGATGTTTCCAACATTCAGATGCATCTAAGAAAAATGAAGCCAGGACACTGAAGAATGAAATATGAATTTAACATTTTAGAGCACACTGGCTGACAAAAATTTGCAGGGACCCCTAACTCCAGCTGCTCACAGCTCTCACCATAAACATTCTGCTCCACTGGGGATCGTTCAAGGTTGCTTCCATCATGAACAGCTCCACCGTCTGCGAGGGGTGCCGAGTCAGGAACTTGATCAGAGGCTCTCTGAATGGACTGCCCGCCTGCAAACACCAGGGGACACCACACCTCGTACCTTCCTCTTCTCAGGGCTTGAGGCTTTTTTGTCTCCGTGTCTAACACAGTAAGAACACACACTCCCCCCACCACAACTGGGGTACACTAATAACCGTAGGTAAACACCAATATCTAGCATCTTCATACTCTTAGATTAACCCATTTAAAAGATAGCAAAGTGTGTAATCCAAGCTCTCTGGGAGGCTGAGGCGGGCGGATTGTTTGAGCTCAGGAGTTCGAGACCAGCCTGAGCAAGAGCGAGACCCCGTCTCTACTAAAAATAGAAAGAAATTAATTGGACAACTAAAAATATATAGAAAAAATTAGCTGGGCATGGTGGCGCATGCCTGTAGTCCCAGCTACTCGGGAGGCTGCGGCAGGAGGATCGCTTGAGCACAGGAGTTTGAGGTTGCTGTGAGCTAGGCTGATGCCACGGCACTCTAGCCCGGGCAACACAGTGAGACTCTGTCTCAAAAAAAAAAAAAAAAAAGATAACAAAGTGGAAATACGACAAACACCAGAGGAAGGAAGAAAGAGGATTAACCCCCAGTCTGAGCCGCACCTCAATCAGCATTGCCCGTTCTGTCTTCATCACAACCTCTAACAGAGGCTTGACCAGAGTCTGAGGTGCAGCTGGGATCAGATGAAAAAGGTTTATTATTGCTGAACAAATCTTCATTTCCTAATAAAGAAAACCAGAAATTATAAACAGGTCAATTAATTTTGCTAGTGAAAGGAGGACATCACTACAGACCCGCTACAGTCTAACCGCATTCGCAAGGCTAGCCAATGAAGCAAGGAGTTAACATGTAAAAAGCCACAACTTACCGGTCTTAGGTTACGACTATGCCTGTCCTAAGGAAACTAACTGCCCATGGCCTTCAGGGTTCCTCTGTCAAAGGGAGGGTGGAGGTGATTGTGTGTACCTGATGTGACTGGACTGTTTGTTCTCATGCACACTGACAAGCGTGCTAGTCCCCCTCGCAGAAGGGTGGACAGTGGCACCTGTGACCAGGAGAGCGTGAGGACTACCCCGCTTTGCCGTAGCATCATGGGGTCTTCCCAATACACTAAGGTCTACGGACATAGACGTCTTGTGCCCCCAAAATCTAGAAGGGAAAGTTTCTCAAAAAATATTTAAGTATTTATCCTGAAACTAAATAGCAATATAAACAAACAACTGATTGTGGTATTACGTATTTGTCAACCAGGTTTAAAAATAAATCTGAAAAACGGCTCCATTGAATAGTATGAAAAATGTGTGAAATGCCGAGAGTTCTGTACTTTCTAACATCTAACAGCTCAGTGGTGGGTTGCTCTGAGCATCATTCCAGCTCTCTCCTCTCAGTTTCTGAAGTTTTGCCATTCAAAGGAATTCTACATGGCCAGAGGGAAGAGAAGCCACCCTGCACCGTGTGCGACTCGACATTCACCACCCTCTGCATGATAAAATGGGGACGATAACACTGGCCAGGAGGGACCTCGCTCCCAGCAGCGCTTGACACACTTTTCAAATTTCTCTTTACACCAAAAGGCATTACAGGGTGATAGGCAAGAAATGAGGAAAATGAGCTCATGCCATCCCCATCCCACCTCTAGAGTTCTCTTTTACAGAATTTGCAAGTCTTCGGATAGAGTAAGTTCCATCCTGAAATTGTAACATTCTAAAATGGAACTTTTACACTCTGGTCTTTCATTTCAAAGCACTGTCACCACACCACTGGAAGACAGGAATGACAGATGTTATGATCCCCATTTTACAGACGAGGAAAAGTTCGGAGCTTGCCCAAAGTCCCACAGTGTGATGACTGCATCAGTGTGTGCTGGAGACATGAAGAGAACTGGGCGGGTGGGTGGATGGAACGATGCGGTTTTAAATTCAGGGCAATCAGCAAGGCAGTGGTGTCCAAGAAAATATAATTACTCCCAATTTCTAGCAGGTATAATATATTCTTTGTGGAGTTTCCTCTCAGAAGGTTGTTAGATGTATGCATTCAGATAACCATTATGATAGCAAACTCCAATTCAATCTTAAATAGTGTTGAGATATTGCAATTCTAACATGAACTTGCTTAAAACATCTAACGTGATCTTGCTTAAAACGTCCTGATATATAATAGAACATGCTTGGCATCCGGACAGTTCACAGCAATGATACTAATACAACTGCCACAGACTGACAATACAGTTCACAGCACTCAAAGGCACAACGCACTCTGTCCATTACAGAACCACAACACAGCTAACAAGTCACAGCAAAACCAAGTACGACAACCCCCTCCTGCAACTCCACTGAAATTCTCACCTCTACCCCTTCCATGGCAGGCTGAACCAAAACAAAAATTACAGCATGAAAAAAGGCAACAAAAAGGTAAAAAAAAAAAAAGAAAAGAAAAGAAAAGATAAACTGTTCTTCACATTGCAAGTCATAAACTGACTTTTAATAGGTTGTTCTCACCTCAAACTGACAGAATGGAGACAAGGAACATCTCCCGCACTCTGAAATGCTTTCCTGAGGATGGGGAGGAAAATCATCTTTTTTCTATTTATGTTATTTACATAAAAACTTCCCATATACTCAAACACAGCAAGGGTTATTGGAGTTAACAAGACAGTAAAGACACAATTATCAGAAAGCACACAATAATTAACAAATGCTCAACAGCGAGAAGCACACCTTCTACCTTTCAGATGTCAAACACAGCCCTTCTGATAGAGTGTCTAATAGAGTGGATTTCTTCCCTAAATCCAATTTTCAAAATAGAATTTCAGAATTCTTATGTAGGGGGGTGGGAAACTGTAAGACCTTGTTATATGCAAATAAATTTTTAAAAATCTCTTTTTTAGAGTGAATAATTGAAGGTTTTATGGGAAGTGCTAACATATGAAAAAAAAAAACAAACCCTGTTTCCCAGCTAAAGTCAGAAGAGGACCAGGTGGTTTAGCCCTATCAATTATACATGTCTAAGGCTCCCCTCACATAAAAACCCACAGGCCATGACACCACCCACTGGAGAGCTGGGTTACCTTGTGAGATGAAGCATGGTCTTCCTAAAACTAGCTTTGTGTGTCTGTGTGCATGTGCGTGTGTGTACACACAGCAGGTGGTTGGCCACGCATTCTCCCCCATAAGCTCAATGTTAAAAAGGGAAGATTCCTAAACATGGTGATGGGGCAAAGCTCTGATCATCATGGGTACCCGAAGTTACAGAGGAACTTTTATTTACTTTTTATTCAACTATTTAACATATCTTCAATGATAGTATCTCAACTAAGCAATGTTATCTGGGGATTCTACCAAGCAGAAACAAACTACTTTCCAGGATCCCTTCCCCATCCTGTTTAACATCCATAAAAACGGATGACCAGAGCTCAAGAGGACAGTGGCGTGGCCCTGGGCTTAGGGGATGAAGCTACAGCCATGCTGGCTGCCTCTGGATCCCAAAACATTGTGGCCTCCAAGTTTTGGACATGCAGTTGACTTCCCAGAGCTGGACCTGCCCTGGCTGTTCAGGTGACACATTCATAGGAGGATGAAAATGTCCCGGGGGGGCTAAAGGACTCCCCCACACCCATGACTCTGTCCCCTATACAACTGCTCCCTACCTCCAAATAATGTGCTGCTAAGTTTATGAAATCTTTTTCATTTGATTGAAGTCATTTACCCACTATGTATTTTAAATGTTTATTCTAGAACTGTGTTTCAGAGAACAGCTTATCGTAAGAACAAACATAAAACTTAAAGCCAGAGTACCCAGCAGATGCTAGGTGGAGAGGAGCAGCACAGAGGCACCTGCGCCTGCTCCCCAGAGCTGGGCTGTATTAGTACCCTTTGCTCTCCTCCGTGAAGATTTCTTGACCTTTGTCCACATGTATAAGTAACAAACCTTCAAAGGGGCCATGCATGGTATATTACTTCTAAAAAAAAAAAAGTTTTAAGTCCTGGTTTAGTTTTGCTTAGTTGGCTGTTTAGAAGCAGCAGGAAACAAGACTTACATAAACAAAACACCTTGACACAGAATGGTCAAAACAAAGCATAAAAAAGCCAAAAAAACACAAAAATTCCAAATTGGGATGAAACACATCCAATGAAGGCACAAAAGGACAAAAGCCACTTAATTATGCCTCTGAAGAACTGTGAGGAAGTCCCTAACAGGGACACTGCTGTGAAATTTCACTAGGTGTTATGGAAGATACAATTCCACTGATAGGACATTATCAACTTAAAAAAATACTTCAAAAAAATTAACATATACAGTATTAGATTAGAAACAGCAGAAAGCATGCATTTTTAAATCTTTAATGACCCATATCACATACTTAAAAGATTTAACTACAGTGGTTTCCCCTCAAAACCATATAAATGTACTTTGAAGTGCTAGTCATTTAACTTATGGCAAATAACTGGGGTGGAGGGTTTAGACCTAGAAAGCATACATGCCAATATTTATGTGATGCCTTATTTACATTCTCCTTAATACTTTATAAAGTCCTAAAAACATCTCTAGTTGGTTTCATCAGACAATAATGATTAAGCGCAAACATTTACCGACCACCCAGTGATGGAAAGCAATGGGAACAATAGCTGAGGCACGCACCACCATGTAAACAGCAGCTGCCAAGAACAGTCTAGAAAACACACTGTTTAAAGCAGAACTAGTAAAATTGAAATACAAACATTTCAAACGTCCCAGAATTCTCATCAATAGAAACATCATATTAAAGTGAACAAAAGGGAGATTTTAAAGAAACATAAAAAGGAATGTTCAGCAATTAAGAGAAATAAAAGCAAAATACTAAGAAAACGTGTCTAACAATTTACATGGCCCATAATACATAAAACTAGACCTGACCAGCATGTTAGGTAAGAGCACTGCTCCGGTGCCGACACCACAGTGCGCGGCGGGGGTGCCCTGCCCAGAAGCAAACGAGTCACTCACGTTTCCGTCGCTCCGCTGGCCCCCCTTGTGGGTGATGACCACCACTTCCATCCACTTGCGCAGATGTTGCTGTGGAAGAAACACAGCCTCAGACACAACTTCTCCTTCACGAGTATTTCACTTCCAAGATACTGCTCTTGGGTGGAAACACAATCATTGATTCCCATTGTACTTAACATCAGAACTGTGGTGTTTCCATTATTGAAATAGCCCAACCATTGAACTAGAGATGAGAATAATCGGCATCTGTTTATGTTCTGTAAATAAAAAGGCTGAATTTGCCTGATTAAAAAAAGAAAATATCCTGAACCTGGTCATTCCAATACCAGGCCCTGCCGTTCTACTTTGTGTGAAATTTGTTTTATTCACAGCCATACACTGGGAATCAGGGTAGAAGTGAAAGGCGCACATAATCCCTGTCCTTGTGGAGCTCGTGGTGCGGTGGGAAAACAGGTAAAACACAAAGGTACCTGCTGTGTGTGACTACAATTACGGTGCGTGTCACAAGGACAACAGGAACCAGCTTCAGATGAAGGCTGAGGGGCCAGGTGGTCCCCACTGAGGATGTGGCTCAAAGGAGGCAGACATGCCAGAAACAGAAGGGCAGAGAGAGGAGGGACAGGGCCCTGAAGCCAAAGAAAGGCAGACATGGTGGCTGAAGACCTGTGGGCACAAGGGTGACAAGGGGTGGGAGCAGGGGATGCTGGGGGAGGCTGGGAAGATAAACATGGGCCCTACTTGGTCAGGGGCCAAGCAAATTAGCACCATAGCAATACTTCTGTTCTGTGCGTAACAAGGGCTACAGTTCTGTAACAAGATTCCGCATTTGATACGAGTGCATGGCAAGACAGATCCTGACTTTAGCCTAACCTGGGCATGTGGCAGCCAGACTCCAGCCCCATGTCCGGCAAAACCAGGCAGGCAGACGAGTGCTCAGAGCCTAAAGCTAAACCACAACAAGAGCACGCAAGTAACAGGTGCATCTTTATTATCCTGCACTGTCCAAACTTGTTCTTCAGAACACTGGTGTCCCACAGGAAGTTAGCAAGTTGCTTTAAACAGGATTCCATGGTGAAATAGGCTTGGGAGATAACGGTTTAGACATCTAACGCTGTTCTGTAAGACAAGGCTTCTCTGAGCCTTTAATGTCCTTGTAGTCCATGTCAAACTTCAAGAGGCTGTGTCTGCCAAGCTTACACAGCAAATGAACTGGTTTTCATGGAACAGCTACATCTTGCAGGGTCAGTGTTACTTGAGAAATGCATAAAATAATATATATTTCTTCAAAGTACTAAACTAACAACATTTTACCAATAAGATTCCCTGAAGGATATTAATCACCAGAATATAAATTCATGAAATCTACATCTTACTAGAATGGCTATTTACACAAAGATATAAATGAGAGTAACAGAATTAAAGGTGTAGATGATGTCCAGCCACATCATTATTTTCTGCTTTTAGATTTCCCAAAGAAAAAGAATGACTCCAATTGCTATATAAAATTTATTTTTAGTTCAACGAGGAAATATTTAAAATAACTAACCATGAAAGATTCCAAGGTCAAATATTAAACAGTTCAAATTTAAAGAAAGGAACTGAACATCATAAACAAAAGAATGAAGTTGGATGTGAAGGATAGACCTTAGGATCATTTAAAAAAAAAAAAATGAAGTTGGACCCTTATCTAGCCATATACAAAAATTAACTGAAAATGGCTCAATGACCTAAACGTAAGGGCTAAAATTATAAAAACTCTTAAAGAAAGGTAAGATGTCTTAACTCTTAAAATAATGATGAATGCTTGAGCTATTAACCTCAAAAACATATATGAAGTAAAACAAAAGCCCATCAGTGAATGAGCTTGGTTCCCAAGAACATGACTAAGCAGGGACTAATGTGTCCTTTATCACCACCCTGGCAGACCATGGCAGGCACAGGATAATTCAAGAAGGCCTGAGCCACTAAACCCAGGAGCATCATCGATGTTAAGTCCAGGCTGGACTCAGCAGAGGTGGGTGCCAGATCCAAGTGTCTGGATAAACAGCAGACTGGGGAATTTCAATCACTCAGAAAGCAGCTATTAATGTCAGAAAAGGGGGGAGAGTTCCCTGAATAAACTGTCAATACAAAACCCACGTGCCTGGCCGGACGCGGTGGCTCACGCCTGTAATCCTAGCACTCTGAGAGGCAGAGGCGGGCGGATTGTTTGAGCTCAGGAGTTCGAAACCAGCCCAAGCAAGAGCGAGACCCCGTCTCTACTAAAAATAGAAAGAAATTAATCAGACAACTAAAAATACATAGAAAAAATTAGCCGGTCATGGTGGCGCATGCCTGTAGTCCCAGCTACTCGGGAAGCTGAGGCAGAAGGATTGCTTGAGCCCAGGAGTTTGAGGTTGCTGTGAGCTAGGCTGACGCCACGGCACTCACTCTAGCCCGAGCAAAAGAGTGAGACTCTGTCTCAAAAAAACAAAATAAAAAAAAACCCACGTGCTTTATTTTAAGGAAAAAGACCACTGGCCTTAGTCAGAAACTATAGACCTTAAGGCAGTTGTCTTCATGCGTACTAAAAAAAATCTGGACAATGTTCACTGAATGAATTTGTAGCTTCCTACAATCTGATGAAGGGCTAGATTGGGGGTTTAAAAAACAAAACAAAACAAAAAAACCAAAGTCGCTTCAGGCATGCAAATGTAGAAAGAAATGACAGCCGCTAACAAGGGACAGAAACATATTACTTCTCAAAAGGAGAGGAGTATAAAAGCATTAGGACATTTAGAACACAGGCACAGACCTCACATATGAAAGCACCAAAGTCGTAATAGAGGATATAAGAAAAAGCATACATTTGATGTGCTCTGATTAGGAAATGATATAATTTCATTTACTTTAACCTCTCTTGTGAATGTATACATGTAAGTATACTAATATATTTGGAAGCTTAAGGAAAAGCAGTCTCCAATTTGCAAGATTTACTTCCATATCGTACTCTGTTTCTCAATGACAACATATTAGGACACCACTTAACAATTTTGATGTTTTCGTCATTATTTAGGTGTCTATAGATATGAAGAAACCAGTACATATATGAGGTAAAAAGGTGTGTGGTTTTCATATATATATGCTATATAGCTACACTCCACATACAATATATCTACAACTATATAATCTCTGTCTACTCTCCTGTTTACAGCTGGGAGAAAGGTGTACCCAATACAAAAAAATACCTTCCGTATCTTAAAATGTCAAAATAATTGAAGGTTACTTAGTTTGGAAAACATATGGATGTTTGTTTTCGTTGCATCATTGTCTATAATGAAAAGACTGGGAATAATCTAAACGGTCGTCAGTGGGGGAGTGGTTAAATAAATTATGGCAAGTCCACGTAATGAAACATTACATAGCCATAAGACAGAATGAAGAAGCACTTTATGTACCAAAATGAAATGATGGAGTTATTAAGTGGAAAAAGCAAGAACTATGTGTATATTATGCCTCTTAATACGGGAAACAAAAGAATAATCACATGTCCTCTTAGACATGTAAAACCTCTCCAGAACACATAGGAAACTGCTGTTCCTAACTGTCCCTGGGAAGGGGGGCTGGGCAGCCAGAAAACAGGGATGGGGGACATTTTTTGCAGTGAACCCTTTTACGCCTTCCGATTTTTAAACTACGTGAATGTATAATATTACCTATTTTAAAAATAATTTAAGTTTTTCAAGTTTATTATAGAATAATGTGTTTAAACACATTTGGCTTACCATCATCTGATCACAAAATTTATCATTGAAAGAGTTTGGGAAGAGCCTGGTAACAGAAGTCAGACGATTCACAACATTCAAGGTCAAGCTTCGATAATCTCCCAGCATCATCAGCAAAGGTCGCATGTGTGTGTGAATCTGATCTACTTCTATGGTAGCACCTTCTAAAAACTATTAAAAAAGAAAAGTTACAAAGAAAAACAGACAACAGAGAATACTTCATAATAGAATGGAACTCATATTCAATTCTAGCAGCAAGTGTTTATTTTCCAGACAATATACTATATATTCCAGAAACTTATGATGAAATGAGGAAGATTTATCTTTACTGTTTAGTATTTTAAAAAACTTAAGACTGATTACAATCAAGTGTACAGCAACCACAGACAGAATTCCAGGCTTACAGAACTGTTTACACAGAGATAAACAGGAAGAACTCTTAATACAGAGTACGCGCACGCTCTCTCTCACCTTTCTCATACAGGCTTCTCCGGCCTCCTGGAGCTCACTATTGGTGGAATTCAGGGCTTTGAAGAGTGCAGCGATGATCTTCTCCCTGGACTGAGGAAGGTAATTGCAGGCAGCAAGTGCATCTTCAGGGAGAGAAATCAGTACAATTTCATTATTAACCTGAAAAATTCATTAACCTGAAAAATACTCAAATAATCTTCTTCTCTAGAGTCTCCTACCAACCAACAAAAATATTGTATGAACCACTAAAACCCTTTTTCCTCATATCTGGCTTCCAGAAAGACAAAAGAATGCATGGTCTTCCACCCATGTGTTCAGCATTACCTAAGAATGAAGTCAGCAGCTTGCCAGCAAGGCTGTAATAAATCTGAGCCTCCAGGTGGGACGAAGAAAGGCTTGAGGGAGAAGAAGGGGACTGCCACTGACACCCCTATCCCCCAGGACATCCTCACAGGGTAAGAGTGCGCCAGCCTGCAGGCAGGCCCATCTGAACGATGCTGAGGGCATAGCCTCCGTCCCTCTGGTAACAGGGGATGCAGGGGACAGACACACAACAGCCCAGCTTTTCTTCACTGCCCAGTTTTGGGGGTTAAAGGCTTTAAGTCTTTGAAAATGCAAATATTCTTAGGAAAGGAGACATATCTCAACCCCGTATGTTAATTAAGAGAGAACATTTTAACAAGGGAAGGTGCATGAGAGGCCCAAAAAGACAGGGACCCCAACAGGAGAAGTGAGAAGCTGCCAAACATCTTCTCCCTAGTTGCCCCCCACTCGCTTTAGCTTGCCCTGTCTGGAACGTTCTACCCCCATCCTCAAACTCGGGTATTGTGGTCTGCCTCTCAGCTCTCCAGCTCTAATTCAAGGAAGATTCTAGCAATATTTTATTAAGGGCATAAAAATCAAAACAAGGAGTCAACTAAAAAAGCTTACATTGGGTATTTATTCACATCTCCCCCCAAAAAAGAAACTCACTGTTTCTATGTAAAAGGGTCAGTCAATATAGATCTAATATTTTCCTAAGCTTAGCACAATTCTTGTGCTTGACAATGACAACTGAGGTTCCTTGGGAAAATCTAAGAGTGCAGGATTCTCAAATGCTTCCGAGTCATTTAAAAGTCTGTAACAGTTATAGGATACCTTACTACACACTCTGATTCTGATGAAAATGGCAGTATATGAATGCTATGACAATTCTCTGAAACCAGAACGTTTGATTCGTAAGAGAACTACAGAATAAAGGGTTTATTATAAAGTATAAATTACTTAAATCCTAACAATAATCTTATGATATCTCATTATACAGTTTGATAAACAAACATTATTTTTTGATCCCACCTTAAATAGTCAGAAAAATTAGACAACAACAAAAAAGGCTACTGTCTCCTTTCACTTTTTTTTTTTCCTGTAGACTTCCTCAGTAGTCAGTCTCCCTTCACTTTTATACCCTATAACTTGTTACAGTTTTACATTAACTTACTTAATGCTGCAATCCGTAAAGGTACAAGCGATGGAAGGCTTTTGTAACAGGGCAGCTTTGTCAAAGCTGAATCTTCAGCCTCACACAAATTCAACAGCTGCAAAAAATAAAACGACTTGATTTAGCCCACTCTTACTGCGAAGACACAAAAACCTTGCAAATAACAGAACACAGCAATCTTCCACACACACTGCAACACAATTAACAGCTGACAAACTAAACTCAAATCCTAAAGAACTGAAGTATCAAAGTGTGACCGAACTTCCTTATTCTAAAGCAAAACTCAGTTAACCTCATTAGTGAAATAAATTCCTAGACTCTTTCTCACCCACTCTGATACCATAATGTTTTTTCAGAAAAAACAGGAGGCCGCTTTAACTGCAAATCCCATGATGGCGGGGACACCTCCTCCTCATTCAGAGCAGCTCTCAGTGCCTTAGGCCAGTGTTCGAGAAACAGGGTGGGCTATAATTCAAATGTTCTCGTGCTCATACCCTTTTTTTTCTTTTCAAGTATAGAAAAGCATAAGAAGGAAGTTGAATGTCACTGGGAATTCCAGTGGCTATCTTTCCAGACATTGCACCACACAGGTATATATGTCGGTTATCTAAAGTAACATATGGTGTTCTACTACTATTTTCCCTTTCTCTTTATTTACATCCTGGAAAACTAGTATAGACTTTTACCATTTTTTTTTCCTTAAAGATTCCTACCTGGAAAGAGATTTAAAACAGCAGAAAAGGATATACACTGAAAAGCACTTCAAGCCTCCTACCCCATTCTCTCCCCAGAGGAAACCACTGTTACTAGGTCCCTGTATGACCTTCAGAAACATTCTCCTTATACACGTAAGGACACGTGTCTATGTGTGTGTGTATATATGTAGGTGTATGTGTGTGTAATGGAGTGGGGAGAGGGAGAAAGAGAGAGAATGAGAAAGAATTGGGTCACAATACAAAGTCAGTGTTCCAAACATGGTCACCTACCAGAATCATGGTCATCCACCAGAATCACTGGGGAAGCTTTTAGACAGGAGCTTCCCAGGTCTCACTCCACATCTACTGAACCTGAATCTCCAGGGAGAGGACTCAAGAGTCTAACTTTCAAAAGATCCTCACATGTTCTGATGTTGCCAGTGTACTGATAAATATTTGGAAAACCGGTTTCGTGTCCTTGACCCTGCCAGGTTCGGGTCTTAAGTTTAGTGAGTTCCTCATGCAGGTTATAGCACATCTGTCTCAGAACAGCCAAGGGAAGCTGTCCTCCCATCTCCTAGAGGCTCTTGACCTTCTGTGTGAAGCCTGACGAGCGATCAGGGGATCGCAGGGGATATAACAAGTTTTGAAAGATCAGAGCTAGACCCTATGACCATATAAACATTTGTCCAAGCAGAAACATAGGACTTAAAAAAAAAATTTTAAAAACACGAGAGGTAAATTTTCCTAATTGGAAATTCAGACGTCGTCTGCAGCAGGAATTTGCTCCCTGTGATTTCTGCCTCAGCGCACTCTGACAATGCCTCCAGGAGCATGATTTATGTCTCATAAAATTTCAAACTGGGACTGATCACCAGACCATTACTGTACTCTAAGAACTAATGTTTATAATTTGGTAATATCTACAATTTAATTTATTTATCACTGTCTGGTATCATCTCACACTGGGATGTTTACAGTGACAAATACTTATAAAATTCCATCTGCCAGCATCTGTGTTTAGATCAAGGGGCATGTCCACTAAGCAAAATGAGTTAGTGCAATGATTAGGAACCTTGCTTTAAAATAACAGCTTTGGTTCAAATCTAAGCTCTACGGCTCACCTGCTCTGTGGCTTTAGGTAAGTAATAAACCCTAAGGCTCAGTTTCCATACCTTTAAAATGAGAATAAACAGTATCTACGCTCCACAGGGTACTATCAAAACTAAGGGTATTTTGTGACACTGTCAACGACACATGGCACACTTAAATGATTAATAAGTTCAATAAATTGGCACTTGATCTGGGCCAGCTTATTCTGGGTGCCAGTTGATATCACAGTAATTAAAGCAGATGTGTGCAGTCTTATGTTTAAAATACAACTTCGAGGCCCTAAATTAGAGCAAGGTTCCCCACAAGGGCTAACAGAGTCTAAGAACTCAGAAAACACCAGCATTCTCTGAACATCTCCATGAATATCACTATGCCTCCTTTCTACCCGAGCCCAGATGCAACATACCTGCTCAGAGTGCTGTGCCAGGTTATGGCTGGTTACCTGCGGGTCACCGCCTGAGCCTTCTCTGAATGCTGCCTGACCAGTCTTCGAGTACAAAGACAGGCTAGCAGACACACCTCATCACCATCCACACCACTCCACACCACCACCCCCCTACCTCTGTGTAGAACACCTTATGCTCCACCACGTTAAGATCCATTGTGAAGAGCCTGGGCTGTAACGTGGTACAGAACGTGTTCCCCTCCATCAGGCCAATCTGGGCGTTGGCAGGCTGGTGTCGGAGCAGGTGCTTCTTAGGTGGGACCATATCCTGGAGGACCTGGGAAAGAAAAGGAGGCGGCCTCGTTAACCAGCTACCCCTTGAAAACCAAATACCTCTGGTCACAATATCCCCAACAATGACCAATTTGAAAACTGTAAGTAAAATAAAAAGGTATTATAGACGTCCTCTAATTAGGGAAGGACGAATATGTTCCATGTGCTAAAACTGGGTCACGGATAGGCACGTGAGATATGTTTGATTTCTAAGGCTCCAGGGTAACCTCTCTTAAGAAGAAAAATCAGAAACAAAAAAATAAAAAAAAAACTACCAGACTGTGCCATACAGACTCAGGAAACCACTCTGTTCTCTTGACACAAACAATTACTGATGTAGCCATAATATAAGCACACTGTTACTTGCATATCTGAGGTGAACAAGAGCCCACCAACAGTACAGGTTACCCTCCATATCTGAGGGCTCCGAATCCACAGATACAACCAACCATGGGTGGAAAATACTCGAGAAAAAAATAAATTAAAAATAATAATGCAACAATAAAAAAAACACAAAAACAACAGAGTATCATAACTACTGACATAGCGTTTACATTGTATTAGGTATTATAAGTAATCTAGAGAGGATTTAAAGTATATAGGAGGATGTTACAGATACTACACCATTTTATTTAAGGGACTTGAGCATCCTGGGATTTTGGTGCCCACAATGGGTCCTGGAACTGATCCCCCTTGGGTACTGAGAGACAATTATACTTTGTGATATGGATACAAAATTATAAACTGAATAGCATCTCAACTCGAATTTGGGAGAAATAAAAAAGGGTCTGGCGACAGAAATCTCACCTCTTTATGGGGCTCCATTATCACTGTCACACTTTTTCCAGTGACCTGGGCCAATACCTGCAGTGAATGCATAGCCTGTTTTCTCACGGTGGAGTTAGGGGAGGTGACTTCTCGAACCAGATCATGTGTCACATGGTGAAAAGACTTTTCCTGAGCTGCCACAATCTCTTCGGCTCTCTCCTCATCTTTTAAAGGTGTCGCACACCTCATCAGAAGCTGCTCCAGGGTGGTCTTTGCCATGGCAACTGCCCCATTGGAAACCTGCAGGCCAAGGACACTTTAGAACAAAAGGGTGGGTGGGTGGGGCAATACCCTCCCACTGCAGCCATCTCCTGCACACCTGTCTGCCACAAATGCTGCCACTGGGGGATGCACGCCCCTCACACCAGCTGCTTTAATAAGCCCACTTCATAGCATCCACTGGGTACTTCGGTACCTGAATCACCTTCTGCTAGGTAATTCTTGTACATCATTGAGAAATGAAAATGCGGATCTAGACAGGACCTTGCATTTACCAAACAGAGAAGCTGGCAATGCCCACTCTGCTCTATTGGTGAGTCATATCTGCACACAGGTTCACAAAGAATGCAACTCCTATGGAAACTTTTGCAGTACATGGGAAGCGGTATTCCCTGTTTCAGGTGTACTGTGGTAAGTACCCTGGCCCGTGACTGTTGCTTATCATGGCAACCGGCTATTGAGATACCCAGGGAAAGCCTACGGGGGTTCTGAGCAGTCCTTTCATTAAAGATGCTGTAATGAAATCTGCTAGGACAGCACGTTTGCAGAATCATCTAATACTAACTGTTCTCTAGCAATTAGCTTCTTGAAAACAGCCTGGTTCGGTATGGGGCCACCCGTCACCTACCTCTCCTGTTAAGTCCATCATGACAAAGAGAAGCGCTTTGAGGAACGTCTGCTGGTTCTGGAGAACCCAAGTGAGAGGCAGCCTCTCCATGAGAAACTTAATGGACACCACGCCCCCCAGCTTTGCGTACCACGCCTGCTCGTAACAACACGCACACAAGCGCTCCACGATGTATGAAAACAGGGGCAGCTGGCACGCCTAGAGAAAAGGAACAAACCATGATGCGTTATTGCAATTCTTAAACTACCAGTTTCAAGCATGAACACCCCTAAAATCAGAAGATATTCCTCAATCCTTCCTTACCCTCTCCTTTGAGCCCAGGATGATACTTGCAACGTCAAATATCACAGCTAAGGCCACCTCCCCGATTTTGCAGAGTTCCTTTTCTTCATATGCCATACAGATAGCTATTGCATCAATAAGAACCAAGGGATCCATTCCTTTCGATCCATTTTCTTCACTGTGAAACATGGCTGTGCTGGGCTGGCTGCCCACTTGGTAGCAAGGGAGCAAGAAAGGACCTACAAGGAGAGGTGGAGGGCACGTGAGAAAGTTCACTTACATGAACGCTCTTGTCCCCTTAAACTGCAAAACTACTTCATGCTTTCTTTGAGGTTAGGAAGTCAATAAAAGCCAGCACTGAAACCTTAAACCAACTTCTGTTAAACGGCAATTATTTGTAACTAAGTGGTCTGATTCCCATTAAGGCTGTTTTCTATGTATTTTCCATGATATAGTGTATCGTTTTCAGATTTTTGTCAATCACAACTCAAAAATGTATTAATTTAAAATGAGAACCACAATCAGGTTCTCATTTGGCCTTTTTTAAAAAACCATTAAAAGGCCAAGGGGCACAGCATGGGAATAACCGTAAGTCATGCTCTGGACATTCCTGACATACAAGTAACAACAAAAACCAACAGCATACAGCTGTGACAGAGAACACACACAGTTGGAGAATAGTCAGCCACAGCAACTATCAGTTAACGCCTCATAGGTACCAGCACCAGGCAAGATGGAAGTCACAGAGCGTTAGTTTTGCTGGAAAGACAATGTTGACAAGAAGAAACACTGAGAAACAACTGAAGCGCTAAACTGTATAGTGTTGACTGTTCAGGCCACGAGGAGTTAAAAGGGGGAAAGTTCTATGTGTTCTGCCTGTTGATCTCTAGGTGAGGAAGCTCTGAGGACACAAACTGGAGCTGAGCTACTCAAGTGTGGTCTGCAGACTGTTACTGGTCTACGAGGAGATGCCAAAATTGAGGGTTAAGTTTTCAGAAACCTACACAGCAACTGGTAGTGTCACAACAGGTTTATTGTCTTTTATAAAGGTATCGTCTGCAATGGATTGGAAATAAAAATGAACACAATTGGTCCTTTACCACCAAGAGGGTGAGAGCCACCAAAGCAGAGATGAGTAGCTGGTCTAGGCAGGAGGAACAGCCTGGGTGACTGCCCTGGGAGGAGAAATAAACACTGCAGGGGAGAAGATGAGGAGCTGGCTGCAGAGCAGAGAGTAGGTCATGGAGCAGAGGGGAAGACTGGCCTTGGAAAACACCACCAGGCAGAGGAAGAACAGCAATGAGTGTGACCACAGCTGTTTTCCATGAGGCATGTCCAAAACTATTTGTATACAAAGAGCATGTATAAAAGGACCAAATGATTAAATTGGGTGTATTTTATAGAAAAAACTTGGTAAAACTTTCCAGTTGATACGGCACCCACCACTGAAATACCAATGACCTTTATCAATGTAGCAAATGGAAAATTAGAAAACAAAAACCTAAAATCTATCAGCCAAACTCAGCTTCTCTAAAACAACAAAATGTCCTGACCAAGTTTTAGAAGCACCCTGAAGACATCAAATGTCTACTTCCTTTGCCCTAGCGGGTCCCCATACTCACCACACTGCTGAGCAACTGCCACCATTGTATAGTGACGGATCAAGCTGGCCACAAAGGGCAGGGCGCTGGGCCGCAGGTCCTTAATGACGGCAGACATGAAGGCCCCAGTCAGGGCCTGCTCAAATGTCTTCCGGGCTGGGGTGTCTTGTGCTTTGTAGCGATGTGATATGATGACATTGGGTATGGTCTTTTCTGTAAAGCTGAAATGCAAAATTAAGTCCAACATCACGACACCGAACTCCTGGGCTGAGGATTCCACTACGACTTGCTTTTTTAATTCCAACCTACCCACTTCCCTCTTATTTAGACAGGCCTGGGGGAGTCAATTTCTCTGCTTTAAGATAAGCAACAGCTGAAATCAGATATGAATTTCATTCTGAACACTGATAGCCAGTGGTTCAAGAGACATCAAATATATTTTGCCTAATATGAGCACAGCCACTAAATCAGGACATGGAGGAGCCTGGGAGGTTCTCTCTAACCCTAATTCCTAAAGTGAGGTCCACCCAATCGCAAAGGGTGAAATGACCAACGTACTTGGGGTGCGCGAGCAGCTGGTAGAGTGCGTGCTTGTTGTCCTCCAGGCTCATCATAGCCACGAGGAAGCACCTGATCACCTCCCACGCCTGTCTCCGGTAGTAGGGCTCCGTGTTGGCACTTTTCAGGCAGTCCAGAGCGGTCTCAATGGCCTGCAAAGGAATGCAGAAAACACAGCTTGCACTGAAATTCAATGATTTTGAAAAACTTTCACTGAAAGCATTTGCAGCACCCTGAAGACTTTTAATGTATATTTTCTTTTGAGAGAGCACAGTGGGCCAATATAGCCTAACAAGTAATTCACAAATGACACTTCTGGAAGAGGCAGTAGAAGTATTATGAAATAAAGAATTGTACAGTTCAAATTAAAATGTAAGACGCAGTTTAATAATTTCTTTTCTTTTCCTTTTTTTTTTGAGACAGAGTCTCACTCTGTCGCCCAGGCATAGGGTCTTGCTATGTTGCCCAGGCTAGTCATGAACTCCTGCGCTCAAGGAATTCTCAACCTCTCGAATTGCTAGCATTACAGCCATGAGCCACCATGCCCGGCTTCAATAATTTCAGGTTTAAACAGCCAAGAGGAGATTAGAGAAATTAAGTGAGCTCAGAAGGCCTCTTGTGGTAGATTTGCTGGATTAAACTAGATTCTGTGTCCTCCACACACTCATCAAGGTCCTAACGAGAATAATGAACTTTCTGCAGTACACAGACTTTCCTGCGTCTAAGTTCACAACTGAAAGATGGCTTTCTTAAGCTCTTACTAAATTCCCTCTTTAGAGGAGGGAAAAAAGGTTTACGTTAGTTAACTTTTTCAGAAAACCTACATAAGTTATACACACATATTCTGATCCTATTCATTTCCATTAGGTTGACCGAGAAGGGAAGAAAGGCACAATCACACACATAGAAAATCTGAAGCTTTTAAACAGCTAAGACATTAACTTTAATGATAATCACATGCATATAAATCAAAGAACTCATTTTTGTTAAAGATTTGGGCGGGCATGGTAGCTCATGCCTGTAATCCTAGCACTTTGGGAGGCTGAGGTGGGAGGATTGCTTAAGGCCAAGAGTTTAAGACCAGCCTGAGACCCCTATCTCTACAAAAAATAGAAAAATTAGCTGGGCATGGTGATGTGCACCTGTGGTCCCAGCTACTCAGGAGGCTGAGGCAGGAAGATCACTTGAGCCCAGGAGTCTGAGGTTGCTGTGAACTGTGATGCCGCCACTGCACTCTAGCCCAGGCAACAGAGTGAGACCCTGTCTCAAAAACAAACAAAATAACTAAAGATTTACCCAGGCCCTATATGAGGAACCAGGAAAGGGTAAAGACAGGGACAGAGGCCCTGCCCTCCAGACCATGCCAGGCACAGGGACACACAGCACAGTCGCATGAGCGTGACAGTGGCTCCTCACTATGTGAGCCCACCTTGAGCATTTCAGTCCTTCTGCAGAACCATCTCTGATCTGGTCAGTAATGGTTAATAAATAGGTGGTATTGATTTTAAAAACTTTATTTTTAAGAATCAATGTAACCCACGAGCCAATTACCTGCCAAAAAGAATAAAGGGTTGTAAGATGTGCCAAAAGCAGAATTGTTTAATGGAAATTCACTGGTACTTGGCTTGGCCATGATAATCTTTCCCTTTTCCCCGCCAGCTCCTTAGCTACTCAGCCACTCCTGCCTATAGGTCCTGCTTGGGAAGAAGCCTCGATGGGTACCACCGTTAAGTCTCTACAAGGGTTCAAAGACATTTATCTTCTAAACCTAAATTCTTCCATGCTTCAGCTGCTTTTGGGCAAAATTACTTCTAAAATGATTTTTTTTTTCTCGCTCTGCTCAGTCCACACAGATGTCTAATAAAAGTTCGATGCCTTAGTTTTCACTACTAATACCAACCTTGCTACTGACATGGCTGAAGCAAACAGAATCCTCTCAAGGCAATTACCCAAGACATGGGAAAGTGCTACAGGCATGAGGCTGTTTGCTAGAGTAATTTTCAACGTAAAGACAGAATTTAGGAGGAAATTCTCTTAGGAGGAAAGCTGATTTGGACAATATTTTGATGAAGTTCTGGTGTAGAAGCTTGAGACTGCACCTGCCCCAAGGCTAGAGAGGGCAATGCTGCCCCATGGGGCAAGGGTGAGGACTGGGAATAAGGAATAGGCTTAAGGAAGTGGGGGGACAGGCAGAGATGACAGAAAACAACTCCAGAGTGACGCTTACCATAACGGGTATCCTCCCCAACAAATGGTTTTAAAAAAAAAAAAAATCATAGAACCCACTGCATGAGTAAACCTCTTAAACAGCGAGGGAAAAATGCCCAGTGCTGCAAACTGATGCAACAGATGGAGCAGGGTCAGCCGGAGCAAAGGAAGGCTCAGAGCGGTTCTGGCTCACGACACCTGCGCCAGGGGCTCAAGGCCCAGCAGGCACCCACCTTACTGAAACGCCCAGTTGCTCAGATGCACCTAAAAGGATATTGTGATATCCTTAAAAAAACACCCAACATACAACAACTAGATAACTGTCCTGAAAAGGCACAGTAACAAAGTGCTATGCTACACTGCAGAAAAGGGCTGCTGATGTAACAAGGGGAAAAAGCAAATGCGACAACCTGAAGACACTGACGAAGGACCAGGAGAGAGAGGTGGTGGAGAAATCGCTTTCAGTACAGACAAAGCAAAGGGAGCAGAGTGAACACTCCAGCAAAATGTCGGAGACAGTTTATTTGTTCGCTTTTTACACAATAAAATGGGAGTTTCTAAAGTACGTGAGAGAGACCCAAGAGCTGTGGGATAAGAGCCAGGAGGAGAGAACGTGAGCTATGTTCACACAGAGAAGGGGAGAAAATGAGGTGCTGGGGGTGACAGAGATGACAGACAAGCATGGAACCCACTTGGGTTCTCAATAGCACTTGAGGTAAAGCCTGCTGGACATTAAGAGACTAAGAGTTCAAGGTGGGATGGGCTGGTGTCACCTCCTGGTCATCAGGAAAGATGGGACTGCTCAAGGGTCCCAAGCTCTCAGGGCAACACCCTCCACAGCCTCCGAGAGTTCTGAAAGCCCCTCGCCAACCATGCTGATCGCCAGATAAACCTTGTTCTACTCCAAGTTTGAAATTCCCTCCCATAAAAAGCATGTCTTATTTCAATATTTTCAATTAAAAATTAACTTTCTTAAAATGAAACATAATACCTTCACGAAGCTCCCCAAAGACTTCCACATTTACCTTCTCCATTGGGAGCTGAAGAGATGCTTTACAATCGGAAAACTCCACTGTAATACTGGGGCCTTGAACTTCCGTCACAACGTAGTGCAGCTTCTGGGACTCCTTCAACATCTTCCTGTTACTGCCACCAAATTTACCAAGTACACGATAGGCCACGTGGGAGATGCTGTCAGCAGGATTGCGTAAGGTGCGCCACAAAGCCTAAAAATCAGCATGATTTTGTTAAAATCCTTCCAAGGGAAAACATTCACATAGTTCACAAATCAAAATTCAAAAGTGATGAAACACTATAGAGCAACAATCTTTTTCCTGCCATCTTCATCCCCCAAACACAGTTTTCCCTTCTTTGGGGAAACCAATGTTATTAGTCTTATATATCCTTCCAAGGAAATTTTACATCTTTACAAAAAAATGCATATATAAATATAAATGTTCTTCCACGCTCCTATAATACAAATAGAAGCACATTATAAATACTGCAGAGCTCAAAAGCAAGAAAACTAAACAACGTGTTATTCAGGCACATACAATGCAAAATGGGAGGGGAGGAGCACAGAGGCAAATGCAATCTGCTGGACAAGTTCTAGTCCTGGGGTTAGATCATGAGCTCTCAGGTTTTTACTTCTATTAGGCTTTGTAACTTACAAACATGATATATAAATTATCTTGTATATTTCAAATCTTACAGGATGACAAAGGGGAAAAACATGGATCATAAAGGCACCTGCATTACAGGACTACAGGAATAAATAAGTTAACATGTACCCTCACCTAAGGAACATTCACACTCAACTGTCCCAAAAAACTCTGTAAATTTCCCCGTGTTTTTTCACCTAAATTACTGGAAGTCCTAAATATGACCACAGTTGACGATTTAAGTCTATTTTCTTAAATCACTTTCTGTAACAATGTCAAATATTCGTGTCTAGCAATATTCAAACTTAACATAAAATCTTGATATTTTTCTCTAAACCAAGCAAAATTCCAATTTCTCTTACGTTCCTGTAGATCCAAGCAGGCTCCTCCTTAGTAATTATTCGGAAGGTGGAGTCTAAGTCCCCTCACCTTATCCACCCTTCACCTGGCCCACCCAATCCTCACGAATCCTCAGGAGAGGGGACTTCCGCTGCCCTCCCCCAGGAGGGGGGTGGCACTGAGAACAAGCCTGGCCTGAGCGGCTGATGGGACCGGGAGAGACTGACACAGTGCTGCTCCTCTGGAGCATAGGTGACTGTGGCCTTGACTCACTCTCTGTTTCTCTCTCTCTCTCTCTCTGGCCGTCTGCTCATGGATGGAAGGAAGGTTCAAGAACTCACCTCTGCCTCCTTCCACATGCTGCTCATGCACACTGGGTCAGGACCAGGGTCTGCCTTCTAGAACCAACAGTGCTATTCTAGAGGCAGGTTCTTGTCAATCCTCATGTGACCAGAAGGGAGAGCTGACTCTGACCCACCCCCTACACCATCTTCTTCCAGCCTAGATGAAGCCCAAGATCTAAATCAGGATGGGCAGAGAAAGTCTCCCAAGCTGAAGCCCAAGTCCAAGCTGTGGTCTCCAATCTAGCTTGTCCAGAGCCTCCTGTCCCCTAGGAGTTATTAGCCTCCATTATATAAAGCTGCTGTTCCAACCCCTATTTGGGGTCAAATACACTACACTAAATGGGCAGGTGAATAAACAGAAAGCCTAACCCTTTGACAATTACCAACCACATCACAAACCAGTAACACCAAAACATGAAGGAAAAATCTAACTGTAACATGCAAACTTTAATGAACAAATATATAAGCATCTTCATCCCTTTATAATGCAATGGAAGATCTTTCATGAATAAAGAAAGGTTTTTGCTGGAAGCAATAGTGGCCATACAGTCACCTAACACCTGCCTTCTTAAGTCACCAACTTATTAAGAATATAACACTTGTGAAAGTTCTCTGAAAAAGAGGTAATACTGCACAACCAATATCCATTCACGATCTATAGTATTTCCTTATATCTTTTAACACATTAGCAGATTCACAAAGTAAGTGCGAAGTCACACCACTCCATCTAGCAGAGAGCCCAATGATAGCCCATTGCTCCTGGAGAAACAACTCGCCCAAACTGCTCAGCAAAAACTAGATATGTGAGCATCCAATGCCCCCTGCTGGCACTCAAGTAAACGCAGACTTACCTGCATGAGCTCTGCGCGGACAGGTTGAATGTGGTCATACAGGAAGTCGGGCTGCAGGTTGTCCACACACAACTCCAGAGTCCTCAGGCCTTGGCTGACCAATGTCTGAGACCCATTGAGTGCAGACACCAAGGGATCCATTAACATGGGCAGATATGGCAAGAGAGAGCTCAGCCGCACGGGCACCGTGAGGCACAGCTCCACAAAGAGGTCCTTCATGTGCTGCTTGTGCAGGCCGCTCTGCAACATGTTCAGTCCTGGACACAGGGTTTGAGAGCGTCAGAGAGAGAAGTTACTTTCCAGACAATGTCAAAGTTAACTGTACAAAATAACCGATCCACCTTTTGTTGTAAACAGCAGTAAGATTATAGGCCAGGCACGGTGGCTCACGCCTGTAATCCTAGCACTCTGGGAGGCCGAGATGGGAGGATCACTTGAGCTCAGGAATTCGAGACCAGCCTGAGCAAGAATGAGACCCCATCTCTATTAAAAATAGAAAAAAAATTAGCTGGGCAACTAAAAATAGAAAAAATTAGCCAGGCATGGTGGTTCACGCCTGTAGTGCCAGCTACCCGGGAGGCTGAGGCAAGAGGATTGCTTGAGCCCAGGAGTTTGAGGTTGTTGTGAGCTACGGTAACGCCACGGCACTCTACCCCAGGCAAGAGCGAGACTCTGTCTCAACAAAAAAAAAAAAGCAAACAAAAAAACCAAACCAAAACAAAAAAAACCAAGATTATAGAAAGACTTTTTGTGCCCTTATAAGAATATGCCCTATTAGTTAAATCAGTCCTACAACTGCATTCATGATCTCTTTTGTAGTGGCAACAACAGGCTGTATGTAATTATTATAAATAGTAATTTATTATAATATTATATCCTTATAACTTATTATAAGTTATCTTTTTTAAAAATCATGTAATACTATTAAGTCCAACCTAAAGAGCCAGACTTCAAAATGATGCTTTCACCTCAAGTTCAAAGTTTGTATCTTTTCAGGCTTCCAGAAGACCAAGTTGAGGTCTATGCTCTAAAATAAATATTTTTTAAAATCAATTTTTGTTTATTATAAATGGAGAGGAGCCACCTCCTTATAAAGTCAAACTCCCCACACTTCACAAGGATAAACAAGGATTTACTGAGTTCCTTCCTCATTGAGCCATTCCCACCGAGGGATGGGAGACCAGCTAGAGAGAGAAAGGCGTGTAACAGTGGACCGAGACTGGGCGCGTCCTGCATAGCACAGGAAAGCAGTGTGATATGAGAGAGCTCAGAGAAAAGAAGAGTTGTCAGGGGAGGCACCACGAGGCAGCAGAACCAGAGACAGAATCCCAAGGAAAAGGTGATGAGCAGAGGGCACAGGGCCAAGTTCCCAGCACAGGATCAGCGTTAACAAGACTAAGAGAGAGAAACCAGCTTGGGGATGGCAGAGAGGACACAGGAGGAGGAAATCAGACTGAGGACAACAAAGGCTTAGGGACTAAAGATAGGGTTAAATATGGACCCTGATTATGGGCCACATGAAGCCCCTTCCATGGCAGATTTATGGCCATTTTATTTCAACATATTCAAGTATGTCCCAGTTGCCTCCTTAGTATATAATGTCACTTCTCTTTGAAGGAATTTGCAAAGAAAATACATGAGGAAGTCAATCCCTTGTCAAGAGCTCAATTTACCAAAAAAAGATTAATTCCTGAGATAGTGTTTCCAATCAGTTCACACCCCATAAACATTCAGTGGGCTCAAGATCCTCTTTAACTATGTTTCTTGAGAGCATTCTTAATTATATAGGAATTACAGGATCTGGTTATGCAGATTTAGAAACTAGATGAAAATATACACTGACTGTAAATCAGTTTTGTAACTTGCTTTTTCCTTTTTGTTTTGATTCTCTTTCAATCTAGGGATCCTGATCTTACTAAACCATTAGGAACCACTTTCTTTCTAGATGCTTATCAAACAAAATGGAACTAAGTCCTAACCAGATACCTAAAACCTTCCAAATCCCATTCAGTGCTGAGTAGGGAGGGAAGAGCCTAAGTCCAAACAGGGCTCCCTTCAAAGTCCCATTGCCTTTAAAGAAGAGGGGGAGATAAGTAACACACACACACGTCCCACCCCACCAACCATGACCTTCGTGGGGTACAGGGGATGAACTCCAGCAGTCAAAGGCAGACAGATACATGCACACACACAAGACTAAAAGGCAACCACAGTCACTGCTCTTACCTTGCAGGAGGTTTGGGAGGAGAGGCAGAAATTCCTGATACAGGAGATCATGGCTACCTCCACCGATAGAGCGGAACAGTGCCCGGAGCAAGAGGAAGTAGTTGTAGGGCTCCTTGGCGGTCTGTGCGAGCTCCATTGAGCTGTTCACGATCTTGTGCAGGTGAGGCTGCAGGGTGGAGAAAAGGCAGATTAGTGGAGAGTCTACACCTCAGACTCAAGCCAAAGCATCAGTGCAATTGAACAGCAACGAAAGGCAATTCTGATGAGTTTATTACAAAAGAAAAAACAAAACAAGAACTTTCCAATCTTTATTTGACTCAAATTAATTTCTCTTAAAGAACATGTTGTTTTCCACCAGTTTAGCTGTGAAAGGAGCATTTGTTCTTACTCCACAGTTACACGATGTTGTACAGGCGACATGCAACAGTAACTCACCATTCTGTGTGGCTCTTGTGGATAGGGTCACTCCTTTATAGGACTACACAGTCAACAAGATTAAAGAAGCCTGTTTCCTAGAACAATCTAAATGCAAAACATTACCTATAGGAATAGAAACTGCACTACCAATCAAATAAGATGTAGGCAAAGTGTGAAAGAACCTCAAAAGATGTTTGAGATTATAGGGTTTTGTAAGACTTAATGGAAAAATGTGTTTATATTGATCTTTAACTAAAAAAGAATCACTTTATTACATCATAATAACTTCAACATTTTAAATCACATTGGCTTTTTATTTTGTACTTCAAATCCTGCTTTTGACATGTCACAGGCTAAGTTTAACACGAAATCTTTTTGCATGTATTATTTAAAGTGAACTGTAAACTGTTGGTTTAGTCACTGATACAATTTCAAATTTATTACTGTATATGATTGTTTATGACATGATGCATTTATTTTACAGAACTGTATATTATTTTTTTGACAAAAAGTTCTATGAAATTTGCTCCTTGAATATTTTTCTTGAGCAATATTCTAACATTAGGTTTGTCCTGTTAGGTTTTATTTTGTTTTTTTGTTGTTGTTCTGTATACTAGTATCTAATGCAAAAATTGATTTGAACATACTGAATTATGAGAACACAGATTATGATTAAATATTTTGTATCTTTAAAAAACTATTTTCCTTTTATATTAATACAAAAGTAATGTTAAGGCTGTTAATAATAGATTACTACATAACTGAAAAACAACAAGTAAAGTGTCACATAGTGGGGCTCTGTATCACCATCTGCACCTTTACTCCATAAAGAATGGATCTTGCCTCCATCTTCAAATTTCCCCCTATGGGAAAACATCTCTCTTTAGACACAAGTGGTGATAATACTCAACTTTCTGTAAGAATTAAAATATTTTGCCACAAGTGGAAGTGCATTTTTATAAGGTTTTTATGCCACCATCTGCTGCTTTTAGTGAGCAATATACATTTTAGCCACTTGCTAGAATCAAATAACTGATGAGATCCAATTATATAGGATTAGTCATCCAGAAAAATGTGTGATGAGACATCTTCCCTAAGATGATTTTAATAAAGGAACATAAACTGATTAGAACTCTTGATTTAAAAGGGAAAAATAAGCAAATAGTCCTGAAATGTGCTGCATACATATTGCTGCACAGAGTGTGAACAGAGAAGACACAAAACCTGAGTAAAGGTTGCTGTAATCAGAACTGTCACACAGTATGCTGTTTCTCTTTGGATTGGAGAGGTACATGAAGACACTTTTTGCTTGTAGAATATTCTTTTGCATCACTTAAGAATAACATGCTCTTATTTTACTTTTATAATCCAGAAAAGGAACCTGAGTTTTAACAAGCAACATTAATAACACCACACCACACTTACCAGAAGAGTTTTGAATTTTTCATTTTAAGACACCAGATAAATAAATTAAGCTCTGCTAAGAAACACATGAAATGTTTTTCACACTTGGTCCTTATTTGTTGCAAATATTTATTAATTCAAAGAGCATTTTACAGATAAAAAGAGTCACTACAGTTTCTGTTCAAAAGTGAAAACAAAAATTAGGAAACAACAACGAAAAAATCCCTGAATGCAAGTACTACTTAAATCTGAATGAACTTTACCTTGAGCATTTGTTCATTTTCAGCTGCAAAGAGGGAGACGGAGCCAAAGACCAACTTAAACAGCTTGAGGTACAGGTTGGAGAGCTCTACGTTGGAGCCCATTTCTGGCAGGCGATCAAGGAGATACTCCACCAGAATTGTAGCAAACAGAGCAGAGGTAGTAGGATTTGCCAAGAAGGAATTGGCAACAATCTATCAAAACAAGAGATGCACGTGACAAAAATAATTCCTTCCTCAAAACAGCTTTAAGACAAAGTAATGAGCTTTTCCAAAACAAAACAGAACCTACACTAGACACACCAAGAAATTTAATTATCCACCAAAGGAAAAAATGGATTTGCTAAGCATTGAGAACAGCTTGCTTCAAGTACTTAATCTGTTATTTCACGCTCACGATCAAATACCAAGGGCTATATTTAATACATATTTAATTTCTCCTAATGAAAGAAGCTGGTCCAAAGCATCTGGATCTTTTGAAAAATTTTTTCAAACATTATAGCCTAATGTTTCTCTGAATTTTGCTCTGCAAGCACATCCTTAGGTGCGTTATTCTTAAAATCCTCAAATTAAATGAAACACGAAGTATTCAACCCATAAAAAACTGCAAAGTTAATGATGAAAGAACATAAAAAAGGAGTATTATACCTGAAGAGCATAATTTTTTGAGATTCTTTCCACCATATAAGGGACTGTAGTTTGAAAGATTTCTTTAAACGTTAAAGGATTCATCATCGTGAACACACCAGCGAAGTGTTCCAACACCTCCTTCTCTTCCTTCATTCGAACGGTCTGGCAGTTTGCGACACGAATGTACGTTTGACCGTTTCCTGCTATCTGGACCTAGCACAAGGAAAAGAAAGAACCACACCCACAGGCCTTAAAACTGAACTTCTCTGAATATATTCCATTACATAATCAGATCAGTTGCATACTTAAAATAGAGCACTTGACTTAGATAATAAATGTACCCCCCCCAAATCTTTTAAATTCTTTCTCACCTTAATTTTACAAAAGAATTTTTTTTAAAAATACTCCAGGTGTTCAGACCAGGAAAATTAGTAAACTTAAATCTTATGTTTCTATTGCACTCCGTTAATACCATCTGCCCCACAAAACGCACACAATTCAGACTTTCATTAAATATAAATAAGAATTTTCACCGTTAAGTGCAACACTAAGTTGCAGAACAAAAGCAAAGGTGGGAATATAAATACCATAGACCATCCAAATAACAACAGATGTCTCAAGGCCTATTCCATCACTAACATCTTAATTCTAAAAGGCATTTTCCATATACAACAGGCTGGTTTGAGGGCACTTCCTTACCTGATAAATATCTAAAGCCTGCATGGCGTATTTCACAAGTTTTATGTAAATCTGTGTTTCTTTGGGCTGTAACTGCTTGTTGGGAATAAACTGAGCTTCTGGAAAAGAGATAGCATATGAAGTTAACTCAAATAAAGCCAATTTTATTAAAAATATTATTTACGTAAATAATTCAAGAGCAGAATTACCACCAGGTGCTTTACAGGATGTTATGCCCCACGTGATTGTCTTGACACCACAGACCAAGGTTTTTACCAAACTGCGGCAATCTGTGACCTGGAACGTCTGCTTGTCTTCCTTATCTTTTTCTCCCTGCTTCTCAAAGGGAGGCACGGGGGCTGGGGTCACAGGGGTGGCTG